TTCAAGGAAGAAGATGGAACATTCTTAATAGACAGAAAAATTAAATTTTGAATTCTGTAACATCGGACCATTATTTCTTAAAAGTAATATTTTTGTTAAAGTTATAATTAGAAAAATTGGGGTAGTGAAGGGGGAGGTTAATAGGTATCTTTGTAGACCCCTAAAATACATACATAATTCATGTTTTAAACAAGAAAAAAGGGAATGATTAATAAATGAACCAGATGATCAAATTCATTCAGTAAATTATGGTGTACCCTAACCTAAGTATCTACAGGCCATCAGTGTTGTCTGTGTGAACTGATTGTTACATAATTATGTTGTATCACAGCTGGAGAAAAGCCAAACTTACTGAAGAAGGTTTTATGGGTAGACATTGTCTAAAGTTGTCCTGAATTAAGGTCTAGACAATTAACCTGAACCTAAGGTCAAACATGCAGGGGAATATTTGATTATAAGGGCAACAGTGACTAAATGTCATAAGCCTTGTTAGGTAACTGTTTATTGGTCTGCTTAGGTAGTTAGGGTAGGAAATACAATGATGGTTTTTACCAAGCATGTGTTAATGATTAACACAACATAGTCTATGCAGACTTAATTAAAAAGTATGTCGAATCATCATGCTTTTAATCACTACCAAGCAAAAATCAAAATTACAGGGCTGCATCTCACAAAAAATAGATCTTAAGTATTCTGAATTTTTCTTAACTTACAAGTAATTTTAGATTTTTTGTGAAAAGCAGGACTGGACATCAAAATTTGCTTTTTGTCAGTTGATCTTGAATGAAATATATCAAGATTCTAGAAAACTTGGATTTCTGCTCTCTTGTCTTATGTCAATTAATAAAACATTTGTTATACCAGTAGATAAAAGAATACATTTTAGTTTTTACAATTAAAATTTTTCAAAATAAACAACATCATTTTCTCTAACACTTGGTTATGCATTTGTCATAAGAGGACTATCTGTACACCAATGCTTTTGATTGGCTTGTTTACACATTGTCTTCTGGTTGCCTTTTGCATCCAGTTTGTGCAGTATACCAGTTATTGTATAAAATTAGTTTATCTCTCACAAACATGATGCCATATGTGCGAGTCTCTGTTTTTTAGGGAACATAAACCAGATTGAATCATATTTTTATCAGATTTTGACATGAAAATGATTATCTGTCATAACAAGACACAAAAGTTCATTGTAGGCTTGTGACATTTAAATCACTTGAAGCATTTTAAAAATGATTTTAACTTCTATTTTTATTAGAAGCATGGTAATGGAATTTGACACAGTAGCTTTAAAATGATGGATTATATTTGACTCAGTTATAAATCAATATAAATTTGTTTATGATGAAACATATAAATGTATCTAGACCATTAGAAAAAAGAGGGATTGCATTGTTGCAACTTTGCCCTACCTTGGAAACAGAATTGAAACATCTTATAGATGGGTATTCTGGAATGTAGTCATCTTCTAGCAACAACCATGGGTAAAATTGATTGTAAGTCTGCAATAGGAAAAATAGGCTTAACATGGAAACTGTATATGTAACACTTTACAGAAATAAGGAGATGTAGAATGGTTGCAAGTGAGAAAACTATCCACCAGAGGACAGAGACCAAATGTTGTGGATGTAATGAACTAAATGTTGCTTAAAAGTATCCTAATGCTCAAATATTTAAAAACTGCATACTTTTCTTGGTTTGAAAGACTGTAGTAACATTGAACATATGAATCAATCGGCTGTATAAATCGTATCTACTTGTTATATCTACATTGTGCACATGGTCAGTGAAGCCATTGCAAATGAAGCATAGTGCAGTGTTCATTTACTGAAGACAAGATAACTTGTGAGATTGCTTCACATTATTTCCATGTCAGTAGATTAATTTGTTACTATTTTGAGGATGATGTATTGGCAGAGAAGTACTCCAAAGTTCTGCCTCACTTAGAGACAGTGAAGACCTTGAAATCATCTTGTAGTTGTGTGGCAGTGCAGTGATATTTTTTTGGAGATTATAAAAAATAACTGCATCTGCAGATTTCTGATTCTGTTTTTCAATATTTAGGTTATATCAAGTATAAAAGCTTCATATTTACAAGCTATCAACTGTCTGATTGAAATGCAGATTTCCAACTAAAAGTTTTTCATGTTAAAAATATGATCTTTAATTATTTATCTGCTTATGAAAGGGCATCCTCCTGTTGGTATGGTGGTCTGTGTTGAAATCATTTGTCTTCAGGTTCAGGTATTCTCCATCATTTTACAGAAGCATGAAGATATATTTAGCCTGATGATTTTTGCACCTGTTTATATTTGTATTTACTGATCATGGGGTTAGTTTTTGTTTTCATTTGTTGCTAGACAACTAGTGAAATAAATATTTTGGTAGAACTAAAAGAATGATTCATAATTATTCTTAGTTAATTACTGTTACTGACATTGTTAAGAGTTGATGCAAATGTTTCTATGATATTGTCATTAGTGTCTTGAAGGATGTCTGAATTTTGGCATGTTTCTGTTGATTTTGGATTCTCAATTGAGTCAACAAGATGTGATATTCTATACTAAAGGACAGCTCTGGTTCAATCATATCATTACTGATTACAAGGACTTATATTCTCTTCTCTTTCTTCTAAGTTCTATCATATTTGTTGTCTATCATTATCTGTTTACCTACATGCATCGTTTATAAACTTCTAACAGCTATTTTTTTTGTAGAAAACAATGCTACACAAATAAGATTAAACTTGACACATATTACATGCATTTCCTGATATGAAGCCTTAATTTTGAATTAAGATGAATGATCCTTTTAGCAAATGTAGATACAGACGATTTGTTATAGTGCAAATAAATTCAAGAAAGATAGGACACACAAATAAATGCAAATACTAGATACACACTTCAGACTCATTTCTGGTTAAATTAATGTTAATTGTATATATTTGTCCCATGCACGTTTTAAAAAATAGTAACTAACATTTAATGAGGTCATTACTGGTTACCATAGTAACGAAAAAATATGCATTGATGCTGAGACCAGATGTGATCATGGGTAAACTAATGAAACATTACAGTTGTTAAATTGACCAGATTTTCCCATGTGTTGGAATATTGATCCTAATAAAGGAGCACCTGAATTCATTTTGGTGGCTTCTTATAATTGATACCAAAATTAGATGTTATTTGTCTTGATTAATAGTGAAAATCTAGCAGCATATTGATATGATATTTTAATTATTACTTTATGGTAGACCTTGTCCTATGCTTATCTGAAATATTTCTGTGAACATCAGCAAGTTCTTAAACTGTTTATTTAGAGTTTTCAAGAAAAAAGCTAAAACAAACTACCAGGGTACTTTAAAATACTAGGGTTAATTTGTTGAACTCTTCTGTGACAAATCCGATTTGTGAAATATATGGAAGCCAATCTGGTAGCCGCATTGACTATTTATATAAGGCTTTATATTTCAGAAGGTAGATTATGACCTTGTTTATAGATGCCTTATGATTTGAAGTTCCATCTGGCATATTTCTGTTGTCTTAACCTCATTTTTATGGTTCAGTGACTGCTTAAAAAACTAGATTTTTTGCCAAGTAATTTTCTCTCTTATTAGGAGTTATGGACAATTATGTTCTAATTCGCCAGACTTAAACGAACATAAATTATTTATGCAATAAAACTCAACACATGTATCAGAAATGAGCTCTCCTTGTGAGGGTAGCATACTTTTTATTAACCAATGTATAATATAAATCAAACAGTTCGTTTCAAAGTTCATTTTAAGCACATTACGGCTTAATCTCAGTAGTTATTAATTAGGTATAAAAACAGTCATACAGGCTCGATCACAGTCAGCCAACCATTAATACATACAAATATACACCAATCTACAAAACAAGAAATACAACTTAAATAAATCATTATAAGTAAAACATTACTTTCCACATAAAAACAATAGATGGTCTTGATGATGGTGGGGGGTGAGGGGGGGGGGCTTAATACAGGCAAGGCAGTAGTACGGCGTATGCTACTCAGCGTAAGGCAGAACTTCGAATAATAACATTATAAATTACATTTAATTTATATCAAACAGCAAGCACGAGAAACACGAGCCAAAATCATACGATACATAGAATACCTGTTTTAAATTCGCAATGCGACGAATTTCATCCAATGGAATACATTGTAAACATTACAGGTATTCTAAAAACATGTGTTGATGTAAACAAACACACGTGTTTTACCAAAACATATACATGTGCTTCCGTACTATTATTAAATATATCTATATTTGGTACATATAATCATTGCAAGGTTCAACATATCTGTCAGGCATGGTTCAGTTGATCTTTACCTTATTTTCATGGTTCATTGGTCAAAGACAAGTATTAATGATTAGGTCTGTTTCTCAGATTTTATTAGCAATAGTTCAACTATACTAACTATATGGAATCATTGTAAGGTTATACATATCCCTCTGGCAGGTGTACATGCTTTTCTGGAAGGGTTCATCTGACCTTGACATCATTTTTATAGAACATTGAACCTTTTTTTAAACTTTCAACATAAAATTTCAGCATGTGCATTCTTGTTAAGTAACAGTGTAAAATAATTTGCGTTCAACAGTTAAAAGCTTCAAATAAGGTTTATTTAAAACCGTTCATGTATTTTAAGAATCAGAATCTGAAATTTCATCTGCATAGAAACCATAAATATGAGAAGACAAAACAATAAAACCAAATACAATATCTACATTTAGTACATTTTGAGCTTTTTTTTCTTTCCAGCTGTATGCCTCCCTCTATGATATTAGAAATAAAATGTATTCATGTAATGTAATACCTATAAAATGTTATACTTGTAATAAGAGTGTTTGATACAATCTAAAAGGTAAAAAAGAACCTGTTTAAAGAATAATGCAATATTTATTTTACCCTTCAGTTAAAATGATTTCATCTCTCCTTAGAGGTATAGTTTTCAGTATGAATATTCTGTTTCACATTCAATGTTTACTATATGTTTTCATAATCATCCGGAACAAATCGCACTGGACCGATTTCTTACATCACCGTACGTATTGACTGCCTTTAATTTCTGTGACACCGTCTGCTTCAATATTTCAACACATGTAACATGGACGACATTTAATTTTCTGAGGAAATCGAGACATATCACTGTCAAGTACGTTTTATTCATTTATAAACTGTGATAATTTAATCTGTTTAAGTCCGTTAATTTGGATAAGTGATTTATTAAATGCATACGAACTGTAAGTTATTTATAACCGAGATTGGAACTGTAAATTCTACTTTCGTTTTCATTTCATTGTTTTAAATATTTGCATATGAACTTTAATATGTTCTTTCATACACATTGTAAGTATTTCTTTTTGTTTTATTGCAGTTTACCACAAACAATCTACTGACTACTTGTAAACCTTTCTGGTGGAATATTATAATTACAATTTTCGAAACAAGTTGTGTTCTTTATATATTTGCCGAGATTGCGATACAGTCACCTGGTTAAGCTAGCTGAGTCAGGCTCAGCATAGTAAATTGACAACAACTTGTCTACACATCTCCTGATCAGGAAATACAACGGAGCATCGTTCGTAGCTGTTACCTTGACACTACGCAACACAGCTTGTGTTTTGGCAGCAAACAAACAACGTTGAGCCATCATGGATCCCAGTCAAGCGGAACAGCAAGAAGAGGTTCAGCCCCCAGAGGGAGATGTCCCTGAAGAACTTATAGAGAATCCGTCTAATACCACACATTTAGATGAAAATCCCGAGACGAGGCGAGTACGAGACCTCACGGAAAAAGGTAAAGGAGCTTTCACAGAAAAACGTGACAAGTTCTGTCAGGAACTAGAGGCCCTCTGGTCAGATGTAGAGTCCCAGTTATCGGAAGTCACCACGCCTCCTAACAAGATACAGCAAATCTTGACAGCCCAGGATAACCTTGTTAAAGCCTGCACAAATTATCGTAGGCTCACAGATGAGTACCTGGACTTTCTGAAAAGGACCAGAACATTGGACAGTCAAAAAGACATAGACGCATGCAATCTCACATTGGATATTCGTCTGTCCAAAGTGGACCATGCCCTAGAAACATTGCACGAACATCGGCTCGACCTGACAAAGGCTAAATCTACTAAAACAAAGACCTCAAAAAGTAAGAAAACCTCACATAGTGGTAGCTCTAACGTGTCTGACATGTCAAGCCTAGCACGGAGGAAGCGTGCCAAAGCAGAGGCCGCTAAATCAAAAATAGCCTTTGTCGAACAACATGCACTTATCCTACAACAGGAGGCGATGTTAGAGGAACAAGCCCTGTTCAGACAAACTGAAATGGAACAGGGAGCAGCACGCAAAAAGGCTGAAATGGAACAGGAAGCCACACGCAAAAAGGCTGAAATGGAGCATGAAGCAGAGCAAGAGGCCATACGCAGGAAAGCACAAATTAAACAGGAGGCCGCACGTGTCAGCCGGGAAAAAACCGAGCTGAAAGCCAAGTTAAACCTTCTAGAAGCACAGAAAGAAGCTGCAGCCGCAGAAGCCGAGGCTCGTATCCTAGAGTATGATGACAGCCAAGCGCTAGACGATCTCCCTAAAGAGACGGAAGACCCGCTCCAACGTGTGCAAGACTTTGTTAATAAACATCCTGAACCAACCGCCATACAGGAAGCGACAGCCCCTCAACAGAAAAAACAAACGTCTGTTAAGTATGAGCTTAGTCATGAAGCGCCAGACTTCGTGCCCTCCGTGGCATTGAACCTGCCATCACAGACACCTGCGGTGTCGCCTACACATGCTAAGTCACCGGAAGTTAATGTATTCCCAGATCTGGGAACAATAACTGGCATAGGAAAACAGGGCGTTTCAGAACAGATCCCTGTTGCATACCAAAAACTAGGCGTCTCAGAGGAGATCCTTGCTGAACACCAAAAACAGGGTGTTGCAGAAGAAATCCCTGTTGCACACCAGCAACAAATCAACCCTACGTCGGAGATAACCAGATTTCTCCTACGCAAGGACCTGCTGTTCTCCCGGCTAACAAGCTTTAATGACCGGGCAGAATCTTTCCATACATGGAAAGCCAGCTTTAAAAACGTGACAGACGAGTTACAAGTTTCTGACTCGGAACAGATTGATCTTCTGATCAAGTGGCTCGGTCCAGAGTCTGCTAAACATGCCATTAGCATAAGAGCGTCGAACGCCAATAACCCTACAAAAGGCATACAGAGACTATGGAAGAGGCTTGACGAGCGGTATGGTGCTCCAGAAATGTTGGAGGCCTCACTCACGAGTAAACTTGCCAAATTCCCAACCTTGACGAATAAGGACAACGCACGTCTCTATGAACTGTCTGACATTCTATCAGAAATAGAATATCACAAGGAAAATCCCAAGCTGGGATGTCTGCTAGCTTATTTTGATTCACCGTCCGGAATAAACCCTGTCATTGAAAAACTACCATATGGACTTCAGGAAAAGTGGATTACAAGGGCGTCGAGATACAAATCTAACCACGGCGTTGCCTTTCCTCCTTTTACAGAGTTATCTGCATTCATCAGTGAAATCAGCAGAATTAAAAACGATCCTGGATTCATCTTTGGGTCAAAAGTCACACCAAATACAAAAGGTGCTGCGCCAAGGTTCACGTCTTACCCCAAGACTAAAGTTGGTACTCATAAGACAGCGGTTGAGCAGCAATCTGGAGACGCCAGCAAACAAGGTCTTTGTATTCTGCACAATACAAAGCATTCCTTAAATGAATGTCGAGCGTTCCGAGCCAAGTCAATTGAGGAACGCAAAGGTCTTTTGAAACAAAACAATGTCTGTTACAAGTGTTGTGATTCCACCACACACAGAAGCCGGGAATGCAATGCACGCATAAGTTGTAAAGAATGTGGAAGTAAACAACACACTACTGCACTTCACATCACTAAACCACAGCAACCTGCAAGTTCTCATTCTAGCCCGCCCAAGCAAGCCTACGGCGGGGAGCCAACAGAATCGGCTGAAACTAAGTCAACCTCAGTTAATTCTACCTGTACCGAGATCTGCAAGGATATATATAGCGGGAAATCTTGTGCTAAAATACTACCTGTGAATGTTTATTACAAGGATAACCAGGACAAAGTTATCCGGATGTACGCCATCATTGACGACCAAAGCAACCGGTCACTAGCATCGCCTGAATTCTTCAACCTTTTCGACGTAAGAGACAAACCGGAGAACTATACCTTATCAACATGCTCCGGCAGAGTAGTCACTTCCGGGAAAAGAGGAAGAGGTTTCGTCATGGAATCAATAAATGGCAATGACAAATTTGACCTGCCTGTACTGATAGAATGTGACCATATTCCTAATAATAGGGACGAAATACCGACTCCTGAAGTCGCAATGCATCACCCTCATTTAAAAGAACTCAGAGGTAGCATTCCACCAATAGAGGAAAATTGCCAAATTCTTCTCTTAATTGGCAGAGACCTTATAGAGGCACACCACGTCCTGGATCAGCGCATAGGACCACCCAGAACTCCATATGCACAACAGTTGAAACTGGGTTGGGTAGTGATAGGAGAAACTTGCATTAACAAGCAGCATGTGCCTCTTGAATTAAATGTCAAAATAACCAACATTTTACCTACAGGACAACCGTCAACGTTTCAACCATGTACAAGCAAATTCGACATTCGGGAAAACTACACAGACCCCGTTAAGAAAGATTTACAATCGCCTCTCTTTGAAAAAACTAGGGACGATGATAAACCCGGAATGTCATTTGAAGACAAAATGTTCATGAAACAGATGGACAACGAATTTGTCAGAGACTCGGAAGGAAGTTGGGTAGCACCGTTACCGTTCCGAGTGCCAAGACAGTCTTTGCCTAGCAACAGACAACAAGCTCTTCATCGTGCTAATATGTTAGACGCAAGTCTGAATAGAAACCTAGTAAAGCGGGAACACTTCCTCACATTTATGAGTAAGATCCTAGACAATAATCATGCAGAGCTCGCTCCACCGTTGGACGAACATGAAGAGTGCTGGTATTTACCATTGTTTGGTGTTTATCACCCAAAGAAACCCGATCAGATTAGGGGTGTGTTTGATTCATCCGCCAAATGTAACGGAGTTTCACTCAACAGCGTCCTGCTAACAGGTCCAGACTTGACCAATGATCTCTTGGGAGTACTGCTGCGTTTCAGGAAAGAAATGGTCGCAGTAACTGCAGACGTTCAACACATGTTTCACTGCTTTGTAGTAAGAAAAGACCACCGAAATTATCTGAGATTTTTATGGCATAAAAACAACGACCTACAAGAGAACCTTGTCGAATTCCGCATGAGAGTTCATGTTTTTGGAAATAGTCCGTCACCTGCCGTTGCTACGCTTGGACTCAGAAAAGCAGCTCAGGCATCAGAACAAGAGTTCGGCAGTCACGTGACTAGCTTTGTTACAAGAGACTTCTATGTCGACGACGGTCTTACATCATGTCCTACAAAAGAGGAAGCTGTTAAGCTCATGAAGGATACACAGCAAGCATTGGCAAAGTATGGAAACTTACGGCTTCACAAGTTCGCCTCTAATTGTGCGGAAGTTATATCTGCGTTTCATGCCAGTGATTTGGCTTCAAATCTGAAGGATCTAGACTTAGAATCCGACAGCAAACCCTTACAACGTAGTCTTGGGCTCAGCTGGGACGTAAACACTGACAACTTCTTATTTCAATTATCATCAGAAAACAAACCGATCACTCGCAGAGGAATTTTATCAACGATAAACAGTCTCTACGATCCTCTGGGATTTTTGGCTCCGGTGATTATACAAGGGAAACTCCTATTAAGGAAAATAGTATCAGAAACCGTCGATTGGGACCAACCTCTCTCTGATGAGAGAGCAGCTGAGTGGAAATCTTGGAGAGATACTCTAATTGCTATCGAAACATTGCGCATTCCACGTACCTACGTGCCGTATCTCAGCAAAACCGCCACAAAGGAGTTACATGTCTTCTCTGATGCATCAGAAAAAGCCATAGCAGCTGTTGCGTATCTACGCACGACCGACAGTAGTGATGAACCAAACATAGGTTTCATTCTTGGGAAAGCTAAAGTTGCACCAACAAGTGGTCATACTATTCCACGACTTGAACTATCAGCTGCTGTATTAGCAGTTGAGATCACCCAAACTGTCATGGATAATTTAGATTTACATATAGACACCGTAAAATTCTACACAGACAGTAAAGTGGTTTTAGGTTACATCAGTAACGAGACAAGAAGGTTCTTTATCTACGTCGCCAATAGAGTAGAGAAAATAAGGAAATTTAGCTCTCCAAGTCAATGGAATTATGTACCAACTAACCGTAATCCCGCAGACTCGGGAACAAGGTCCGTACCAGCCCATGAAATTCATAGCAGTGAATGGTTATTGGGACCAAAACAACTTCTTTCCTCAGAACAGAAGAATTCTGAGGACATATATCAGCTAATAGATCCAGAAGAAGATGGAGAAATCCGTGCAACTGTGAATGTTGCAAAAACATTTGCCACATCTGAGCATAAAGGTATCGGAACTGATAGATTCAACCGATTCTCCAACTGGACATCACTTGTGCGAGCGATAGCCTTTTTGGAACGTTTCTCCCGTTTACACGGGTCAAAACAGGCTTCATCAGTGACTTCTTTTGATAGTTTTTCGAATGCCGAAAATTTCATCTTAATATCTGCACAACATGAAGTTTATGGAGATGAAATAGATTGTATAAAACGTCAGGAACAAATTAATAAGCGGAGCCCGATAGCTAACCTCAATCCGTTTTTGGACGAAAAAGGACTATTACGAGTAGGAGGCCGTATTGTCAAATCTGACTTAAACTTCCGTGAAAAGAAACCATTGATCGTCCCTGGACGCCATCATATAGCGACATTATTAGTTCGACACTACCACGACAAGATAAAACATCAAGGTCGTCATTTCACAGATGGAGCGATTCGATCCGCAGGATTTTGGATCGTTGGAGCAAAACGCTTGATCTCTTCTATTATTCACAAATGTGTAACATGCCGCAAACTCAGAGGAAAAACCGAGTATCAAATCATGTCTGATTTGCCAGAGGACCGTCTTGAACCGTCACCTCCGTTTACTAACGTTGGAATAGACACCTTTGGACCCTGGACAATTGTTTCACGTAAAACACGTGGTGGATACGCCAACTCTAAACGTTGGGCAATTTTATTCACATGCTTAGTGACAAGAGCTATTCACATCGAATTAATCGAGGAAATGAGCTCTTCAGCCTTCATAAACGCCGTCAGAAGATTCGCCGCTATAAGAGGTCAAGTAAAGATTTTCCGATCTGACCGTGGAACAAACTTTATTGGCGCAATCGACGATTTAAAGATTGACTCAATCAACGTCGAAGATGGACCCTTCAAGAACTTTCTGTACAATTCTGGTACAACTTGGATCTTCAATCCGCCACATTCGTCCCACATGGGTGGAGCCTGGGAAAGAATGATTGGTATCGCAAGGAGAATTCTTGATTCTATGCTTCTAAACGCAGCAGGAAGAAGCCTAACGCACGACGTGCTCAACACACTAATGGCAGAAGTTTCAGCAATAGTGAACTCTAGACCTCTGGTACCGGTATCGACAGATCCAGAGAATCCGTTAATCTTAACGCCAGCTATGTTATTGACACAAAAGACCGATTACATCTTCACTTCAGATCAGCTTGGAGAATTCGACAGACAGGATCTATGTCTAGCCGAATGGAGACGTGTACAGGCTCTTGCCAGTGTTTTCTGGTCCCGTTGGAGGAAAGAGTACCTGCCGTTACTACAACCACGACGAAAATGGACCGACGATCGCCGTGATCTCATCAAAGGAGACGTCATTCTCCTAAAGGACAAAAACCTTTGCCGTACTCAATGGCCCATAGGCGTTATAGTAAATTCATTTAAGAGTTCCGACGAACATGTCCGGAAAGCAGAAGTACGAATCATCGTAAATGGAAAAGCCACCATCTACACACGCCCAATCGTGGACATGATTCTTCTCATAGAGAACGATTGTATATAGTTTTTGGAATAGTGATATCAGTTAGACATCAGACGGGGAGTATTCTGTTTCACATTCAATGTTTACTATATGTTTTCATAATCATCCGGAACAAATCGCACTGGACCGATTTCTTACATCACCGTACGTATTGACTGCCTTTAATTTCTGTGACACCGTCTGCTTCAATATTTCAACACATGTAACATGGACGACATTTAATTTTCTGAGGAAATCGAGACATATCACTGTCAAGTACGTTTTATTCATTTATAAACTGTGATAATTTAATCTGTTTAAGTCCGTTAATTTGGATAAGTGATTTATTAAATGCATACGAACTGTAAGTTATTTATAACCGAGATTGGAACTGTAAATTCTACTTTCGTTTTCATTTCATTGTTTTAAATATTTGCATATGAACTTTAATATGTTCTTTCATACACATTGTAAGTATTTCTTTTTGTTTTATTGCAGTTTACCACAAACAATCTACTGACTACTTGTAAACCTTTCTGGTGGAATATTATAATTACAATTTTCGAAACAAGTTGTGTTCTTTATATATTTGCCGAGATTGCGATACAGTCACCTGGTTAAGCTAGCTGAGTCAGGCTCAGCATAATGAAACTTATCCTATGATTGTTTTATAAAGTCACTAAAGTCTCTTTGATTTCATGTTTGTACCAGAATTCACAGGTAAATAAACTGTTCTGATTGATGTTGAAATAAATCTTATTGTACTCCTTTCTTGCCAATGTTTTCTCATTAATTTCAAAGCAAAAACACCTGGCTTTAAATTAAATATAATAGGTAGAAAGAGTGGAAGTTAATTAAATGAAGGTAATTAAATTTGCTCTGTATGGGTCGGTTTGACAAGTTTGAAGAAGTGGGGTGTACTTCTATGCAGGGACTTTCTATACCAGTCCCATTAGTATAGACTGTCCCTGTTATATGGCAAGGCATAGTAATACAGATGTGGCTCCACCTTCATCTGATGTGGAGTTTTTATTCTCTTTTCAAGTTACCAAAACAGATGAATAAAATTTGGAATGAGAAAAAAAGAGGCTCAAACTGAATTCTGACAGACAAACACTGAAGTATATCAACTACAGTGTATTGTCAGTGTTTGAATCTGGATCTTGAGCATTCAGGTCGTATGAGTTTACATCTTGTGGCACCTGAAAAAGAAAATGAATATGAATCAAATATGTCAGATGCTGGAAGTGCATTAGGTGGAGGATACTAATGCAAGTCATTTCAAAGGGCTTCGGTATACCTTACCACAGTGAGAAAATATCTATTTTATCAAGGCCAAATGTCAGCACCTGAAACACAAACAGTTTTTTCCTGGAGAGTAAGGACTGATGGTATTGATTGCCAGCTATCAAAATAAGGCCATATGCTACTAATCTTTTAATATTTACATTTCGTTATTTCTGTTGATAATTGTATTATATCATCAAAGAACAAGAAATAATGGAATCTGTTGATTGAAATATAATATTAATACTAATTGAGATAAAAAGATTTGTTGCAGAATAATTCATATCACAAGTAGCAATAGGAAGTAAAGGATTAGGGACCCACTGGGACCCCTTTGTCAACAATGTTATATTAACAACTCAATCATTTATCCCTTTCCTTTCAAACAGTTCCTTGGCATCTGGATGAGTTAAAGAAATATATATTCTTGTCTTGGACAACCATTTTTCATCTCTTCAGTTTTAATGTTATCTGTGAACTCAATAAATAGTAACAAATACATTGAGGCTAAATATATTGAGGTTATTTTACAAGCTTTCAAAATATAGAATCTCAGAAATAATGAGGAATCTGTTTGAAATTGAGGTACACCTTTCTTCATAACATTCTGTTTGCAACGTTTAGAGCATTAATTGTAATCACATCACTATAGTTTGTAAAAATGTTATAATTTTTGCCTCAAAAATGAATGGAAGGAAATGTTGGATAAACGTCAAAATCTGGGTCTGTATAATAAATGTGTTCTCTATTCTGTTGATGCCTACACTTAAAGATAAAGATTCTTTGGCCACAGTGTTATTGTCAAGACATTGTCATCAGTTCTATTCTATTCAATGTTTATTAACCCATATAATTGTACAATTAAAATCTTTCTTTTGAACCTATCATTCAGTAAGTGGTTTAAGGACTTCAAAAACTAAATAATTTAAAGGTATTATTTATAACTTTGCATTTGACCCACATGACCCAGACAAAACAATATTGTAGATTTGAAGCACTTGTTCCCCATGACTGGTCAATATTATGTATAATCCATGTTGTCTATTTGCTTATATTCTTGCAAAAGTGGTTAAACCTTGCTAAATTGTTTTCTCTCATAAACAGATAGTATTACACTTGGAAGACCTTTAGTTTCTTTTAGTAGTTTTCTCAATAAAGGCTGTTTGACTTTGGCAGTCAAACACTTTCTTTAACATCTTTTGTAAAGTTTAATAATGGTGCCCAGCGACTCTTTTCACAAAAAATCTTAAGTTTAAAATTGATCGTAAGTTATACTGAAATGTGTATGACTTACGAGTAATTTTACTCTTAAGATTTTTTTGTGAAAAGACTCACAGTTACCTATATACAGCTCTTTTTTATGTAACATTGTACATTGAATGTCTTATTGAGACTGTGTGTGGGTAAGAAGAAAAGCAGTCTGAAAATAACACTTTATACATTTAGTGCATCTGAAGTTCTGATAAACCTTCATCAGGAACACTCAAAGACAGGGATATATAAATATCTTAATACTTGAGGAGTTAAGGACCAAAAGGGACCAAAAAAGGATAGCCAATCCATCTAAGGTCAACTTTGATTGAGGTAGTTGCAACCTTAGTTTCTTAATACTTACTAAATTTATCAACAAGGAATACTTTGTAATGGTTTCTGTTAAGACTGAAGATGTAGGGTTTGGAGTGTTTAACGTCCAGCACGCCAACTTAATGATCTAGTCGGACAGTCTGAAGATGTAATATCCTTTGGTTACAAATATACTGTGTCTTGTTTAGCCTGAGGCTTAAGTCTCTGGTGAACAATGACTTGACTGTAAACATGCAATACACACACAGGTGTTTCAGGTAAAAAGAAGTAAAAATTAACAGACCAAGTGGAAAGATATATATAAACTGATATAGGTCAGTGATCTTGGAAACCAATGACATGTCACATAAGGTCAAGGGAAACCCTAGAAAATTATTTGGGCCATAGATGGCATGTAGTTCACAATAATGGTAAAAGATTTTTCTCTTGATATATTACATATGCAAAGACATTGACACTTGCATTGAATGTGCTTATTATGTAAAAGTTGCACTGAGTTGTTATGTTTGGCTGAGCTTGAAAAGAGATTTAGTTTATTGTGTAATCAATAGACGTCAACATGTTTTTTATCAATACATGGGGTAAATTTATTTAGCTAGACACTGGCCTCATAGTAAAGAAAGCCTTATATTTGGTGTCTGGTTGATAAAGATTTATATTTGTGTGAAGTATAGTTAAAATTTAACAAATAATTCACCTGTTCAGGTATTGTCATCTGTATATTTAACACCTCTTAGTGAAAAGTACTTTATGAAGTACATAATACCTACAATAGACTGTTAATAGATTATTTATACCTTAATAATGATACATTGATGTTTCAAGTTTCAATCCCCAGAGATGTCTGGTTAAGTACAAGAATGATCAAAATAACACTGCATTTAAGAGTTTCAAATTTACTCCTCATCATTCTAAGTCATTTGGCAAGACTTTTGTAGCCTTAAATTAAAGTTAGCTTGGCAACAGCACATTACTGTAGTTTTTCTCTTTCCTTCTAGTCAATAACAAATATAAGGTTTATTGCTTGGTTGACAGAAAATGTGTGTGATTAAAGCAAGATTCTTCTACCAGTACTGTATAGATTGGAACAAACATCAACAATCTTGCAAACTAGGTATACTTTCTGTTTTGGGTAGTCGACGTTTTGATGGATATTGTGTTAAGAAATAGTGTACAACTTTTGATTCAAATTTAGCTGATGTTTTGCATAGTTATTTTAAGTAATGTAACATTAAATAAACCAGTACTAAATATAAATAACATTTGCGAATATGATTCATACTTCATATTTATTAAGCAATTAAAAAATCTTTAAAGATCAATATATTTCTCCTTCTTATGAATTATCATGTATGTCACACCTCTGTTCACAAATAAAATGAACTACTAAGAACTAATGCAAACCAAATGTGCATTCCACGATAAAATTAATATCGGGGTAACATATTGAAATATTACTGTATCCATGAGTGAGTGCATCAAAATACAAGCTTATAAAGTAATGAAGTTGTCTAGTATGTACTTGGTTGTGAACTTTTGACCTCACATTAAACATCCTGCCAATAAAGAATTGACAGGAAGTGGAGTCTTTTGGCGGATTATTTTTATAGAGGTTTTCATGCAAAGGATATTGATATAATTAGGTGTAATATTGTCACTGCTGTCTCTGAAGTGGTAGATGGAGCCATTGTTATTATTGCTGCTTTGTCATAATGGTTCTAGTAGCAAAGTACCTCAGAATTATACAAAATATAATTAAGACCTAGGCTAAAGATAATGTTCTTTTACAGGTTAGGGTTAGTTTTAGGCAACAACAAAAAAGGCAAGTCTAGGATAAGCACTAGTAAGGGATTGAAAAATAATTTGATGTGAAGGGAAAACATGACTTTTCAATAATTTGATTACCAAATTAAGAGAGCATGATTTCTTTGTTCTTCTTGAATCTGATATAAATGGCAATTTTTCTTCAAAAACTTTATGGGTAAAAAAAGTAAAACAAAAATACCAAACTCCTAGGCAAATTCAAAAAAGGGACGTCCATAAAAACTGACAAAACTCTATCAATCTATCAGTATCCGTATTTTGAAATGCACTCCAGAAATTTCATTCTTGACTGAGCAAATAATTCCATGTATTATCACATTTTATTTACAATAGAAAGAAAGTTTTAAGTTAGGATTCCTATTTCTATTAATAGACACAAATTATTATCATAAATTTTGATATAAAGAAAGTAATATCACTTTTACAACTGACCTCATTAGGGCACCATGAAATAGCAAAATAAACTGAAATAATTATGTTTAATTTAATGTTATGTGTCACATTATAATGTTAACTTATTTACTTGACATCATAGTCAATCAAAGTATTTAGAATATAAAGAGCTTTGAATTAATCAATTTTCTTTTTCTATTCTGTAGGAGCCACAAAAGAGATTGGAACAGCCCTTACAAGGTTATGTATGAGGCATAAAAGTATCGAGACTAAATTAAAGACATTAACAAGGTAATCATACTGTTTACATCTTTATGATGGTTATAAAAATTGTCATTATTCTCTGTTGAATCTAGCCCTGGAGCTAGGTCATAGTCCAACCATCAGACTTCTACAGAGGTATGACATTTGACAACGGTCATCTGTATATGTCAGGGCTATTGTGTTTCAATGCATGAAAAGTAGGGAAATGGAAACCCTGTTGTTAACACGGAAAATTATACTCATTAGTTGTGAAGTTTTGTTAAAAATAATGACTCTTGAACCTTGAGCACTTCTTAAAAAAAAAAACCAATTGTACAAAAGAAATGTTTTATTTTTTGCACAGTTATGTCAATTTTAACTGAGTCTAGCTACTTAAACAAAGCTATATCTTGGATGCATAGCTTTATATAGAACAGGAAAAAAATAAATTAATTGATTGTGCTCATTTTCTTGGAAAACTATATTTATCTCTTTTCACAATGTAAAGTTACAGAAATTTAACAAGTGAATAGAGTTATGTGTATAGGTATGCCTTGTTTAAAGAGCAATATGCAAATCAATGACCAACAAAAAATAAGCAGAAAATGATTTCATCTTCTCAATTCTATTGACAAATGCCTTGAGATGAAACTGCTGTACACCTGACTAAAGCCAAACTAGATTTGGATTCAGAAGTACACATAGATAACTCAAATTGAAAGAAGAAGAGATATATGACCGATGTTCAGGAGAATAATTCTCTGATAGATAACCACATCTCATAGAACAACCTTTTATTCCTGTTCTTCATCTAGATCTTTGCATGAAAGTATTTAGCCAAGATCTAGATTGTACACTTATGAATATTCATGAGGTTGTTATTCAGGTGGTATTTTCTTGCGACACTATAATCTAAATATGTTGTAAAACTTGTACATATTTGGCAACTATTCATGTTCCCCAAAGAAATAAAAGCAGCATTCATATGGTAAATTTTTATCTACAGATATATTTTTATTAAGGTGAGTTTCCGTGCAAATTTATTTGATAGATCAAAGATGAATGTTTAGTATTGGTGTTTAGAGTGTCCATGAATAAGACATAAAGCCTTAATGAGTGTAACAAGTACATGTAAATGATAATTCCATTTGATGTTTTATGTCCAGAGAGCTGTTGGTCAGTGCTAATGTTCATTTCCAATTTCTGTGAGTGCTGAATAAATGTTGTTTTTCAGGAGAAATTTTGTTTTCTGGCCTCGCTAATATCCATTTCATACCATTAGGCTTAAATTGGATTTGAGCTATAATTATTTTCTGTGTTCAGAATATTGATATTTTTTGTTTATTTGTAATTAATTGACGTGAAATGGTGCTCAGAACAGTGTGAAAATAATAGAGATCTTGAAGTGGTCATCTAGTGAAATGATTATTGATCATTAGAAGAAATTTAATGATCGTGAGTGTAATTTGTGATCTAATAGAGAAAAAAATTGGTCAAGCAGTATGGAAGACTAATTAGTTATAAGGAAAGAAACAATTTTCTTCACATGAAAAAAGCTTTAAAATTATTAACATTTTAAGGGTTCTTTGAATTGTTATTTTTAACCCTGAATAAACAGAAAGTCCTTGGTAAATGTACTTGAGACAGCATCAGATGGTAGCCACTGCCAAATGAGGGGAATAGTTGTGGTCTGCCATATTTTTTGTTTGTTTATTGTTTTAGTATAAATCAGGCTGTTGGTTTTTCCATTTCCAATTTTTGGACATTTTTTGGGCCTTTTATAGCTTACTATAAGGTGAGTTTTGCTCATTGTTGAAGGCTGTACGTAGTCCTATGGCTGTTCACATCCTTGTCTTTTAGTCTTTGGTATAATATAGTTGTCTCATTGGCAATTATATTACATCCCCTTATTTTATTTTATAGTTTTATACTTATTACATACCAATGAATATAACAGTTTTTTTATCGTCATGGTAATGACTAAGAAAATCTGAAAAGCATAGTCTAGAGTGTAGGAGGTATTTCTGTTTCTAATTATTGCATTTGGTGCACTTTTTCTGCTGGAAGCAAACATTTTATTTATGTTATGTCTAAAGATTTTTATGCCCCCGTCGTAGTGGAGGGGGCATTAAGTTTTACCCTTGTTTTGAAGATAAAACTTTTTCTAGCTATAGGGTTTAACCCTTAGTTACTTTTATGTAATCCTGATATAAATGTTACTTCAGTAAGACTGATGACACTTCTGGAATCTCTCATGAATTTAAAGTAAAATATAATATCAAGTTGTCTGGAAACATTTGTTTTCTTGATTGTGTTTGCCTCTTTATTATTAAGATTCCACATTTAGACTTTTCACCACCATTAACGCAGGATTCTTAAGTTTTTATCAGGACTTATTGATGATCTACTGAGACAGATGAATCCTAAATGAAATATGTGACTGTTTGATTCATAGATTAAGTACGAACAAGAAAATGCAAAGTATTGAATCTATTTATATATAATATGAGACATTTGTTTTCTTTTTGGAACAGATGTATTACAAAGTATGTATACAGTACATTGTTTGTCAGAGGTGAATTGAGTTTCTAATGAGTCAATTTCTTCATGTTATCCTTTGATCAACTTACAGTCATTATTATATAGCTCAAGGTAGAACTCCGACAATATCAGATTTGTTTTACAACACTTTACTGTCTAACCTTTAAGAATTTTTTTGTAGGAATACACCTTAAAGAGGTGTTATAATTGCTGAGTGCTACAGTGCAAGTATTTTGTGTGTTGCCAGAATGAGTGCATGTAATATGTCTTCTTCTCTTTACAGTACTATTATAGATAATCTAGTTACACCACTTCAAGAAAAGAGTGAAGATTGGAAGAAAACAGTTGCTCAGTTGGACAAAGAACATGCCAAAGGTATACAATGTCTGTCTGTGTACTGTAGACAAAAAGAAAATATTACAATTTTTTTGTTGGTATGAAAATATTACTGGATGAATTTTGCATTAATAAAAATTAATGTTTTAAATTTCGGTAATTGTTTTCTTGATTCAAATATCAAGCAACAGCAATAAATGGTTTGCATTATATGATATTTAGTCAGTGGCCAATAACTTGCATGCAGTCCTAATGATATAAATAAGAGACAGAGGATACCAAAGACACAAATATAAAAGTGTGAACAGTAAGGTAACATACCAAACACAATTGGGTATACAAACTATTTCTTCTCTACTTACACAAAAGGATTCAGTTGTACAATGTTTATAAAAAAAGTTTCATCAGTGCTAAAATTATTTAGGAGACAGAAAAATCAGTTCAAACTCTTTTCACAATATGATGATACCTATATATTCAATATGTTGTCTTCATATTTCATTCTGATTATTGATTCGAAAGAAAATCTTTAAAGATCAAGAAAGAACATACCTTACAGTTATGCATAGTGAATTAAGAGAGTCTTGTGCAAAGAAGAAATACTATAAAAAGGACTGTCTCCTTAAGGGACAGATTATTGATTGTTATGTAATAAAATAACACCTGTATAGGTAATATTGATCAGTTGTCATAATCTATCACATACCACCCACAATCAGCTGATTACATAGGTAAACAAGGTCATGTGATCTCTTAGAAGTATACATCTTTGTTTTGAAAATGGAGTAAAGGAGCTATCATAGTAAAAAAAGAAGACAGTATGGCATACATTGTATATGTTATACTGTTGGCCTGTATACCTGACTTAGATTGCTGAATTACCTACAAGTTCAAAATACCCACAAAAAAGATCTGACCCATTTAATATCTAATTACATTTTGCATTCAAAAGGACAGAACTGATGTAAACAAAGAAGAAGTATCGTATACTGTGGGTTTATTTATTTTCATGGGTATCAATTTTCTTGGTTTAAAAGATTGTATTTTTATGGATACTTGATTTGATGGTTTTGTCAAACTTTGCATACAATCCTGTAGGAGTTTTGTACTTCGTTGAGGTTAACATTTACCCACAATGCCATGAAAATTGGTACTCCACGAATTATAATAAAGCCATAGTACATTATTCATTGATAACCTGTAATCAAACGTTCATAACCTGTATCAAACAAACATTTGTAGGAAATTTTTTTTTAGTTTATGGAGTTTCAATAGAGTGATTGCATTATATTTTCATGTAAATCTTATCAAAATCAGTATACTTAAATTGTACAGTATATCAATTGTATATTTTCCGTAAGAAAATCAGAATTGTTTAACTTTGGTATTCTAACTTATTTGTTGATTTGCATGTTTTTTCAACAGAATACAAGAAAGCGCGTCAAGAAATCAAGAAATGTGCTACAGACACCATGAGATTACAGAAGAAAGTCAAGAAAGGTCTGTTTGATTAGTTTGCATGAAATGTCTGATATCAACCACCTGTTTGAAGTATTGCCCCACTATTTGTTTGATAACAGGGTTGTTATTACTTGTTCCTGGTAATCTGTAGTCAATACATTGTAGTATATTATCTGTCAAAAAAACTATTGATATATTTTATGTGGTACATTGATTCATGTAATAAAATGTAATTATCTATGAATTTATTTGATGAAAAGGGAAACTTTGAAAGTTTTGAACTTTTATTCTGCACTCTCAAAAAAGTATTAGAGCAAAACCTTACTTTATAGAAAGTAAACCATTGACTGGGATTATGAATTAAAGTTGCTGATCTAATACTTGTCAAGGGAAGGGTTTATAATGTCTATTTCTCGGTAAAAAAAAATCTAAACTAAACTATATCATGCTATATAGGTGGGAAATGATATAAACCTTACACCATATTTGGATATATTTGTTAAAGGAAATAGTCAATGAATTTTTCATCATCTGCTTAGTATCATACACGCCCTGAAACCAAAACCACAAAATTTCAATTGTAATGAACCCCTTGGCTGATTTTAAATATGATATCTATGAAATATTTTGTATCTTATGCTCATGATTTAATTGGCTTTATCACTACACACCTTACAAACCATGAAGAAGATACATGAATTCTTCTTGTTTAAATTTGTATTGAATAAATTACGTAACAGAATTGAATGTTGAGAGATTTTTTTGAACTAAAACAGATGAAGAGGTGTTTGTTAGAGTTCATTTACACACCCAAATGAATTGCATATGCATTAGAAATTTGACAATTCAAAAGAATGTTAGAAGTTTTTACATACTATGACTTTTTTTCTGCTAGATTATAGATTGAATTGTTATATGGAAGGGAAATAATGATATTCTAGTTTACTGTAATGATTTTCTAAAAAAGCAAAGGAAAAAATTTCAAGGTAGAAAGTTTTAGAATTTTGAACTGTCACCATTTAAAAAAGTGGACATTTACTGTAGAACAACAATCAAGCAATCATTCAACCCATTTCTTTGTTAAGATATAGTAAAGAAAAGTAGTTCAACTGATATAACTTCATTCATCTAATTAATCTTAATTTGTTGAATGTTTGAATATTTATGTTTCGTAGTAACACTTCCTGTGTAGAGCTAGTGGACGTTAAGCAAACAATCAATCTTTAGTAAAAATTTGTCTTTTTTAGGTCTTTGATTATACTTTCATTTGGTTATCAGGTTTAGATTCAGATAAATCTTTTTAAGTTATGTTCATTTAAAATAATGTTGCACAGTAATTTTGAATCAAATAATTTAGATTGAGGAAATTATGTACATAATTATTAAATGACAAAATACACGGTCTAGGTCTTTTGTATTCTAATAGGAAGTATGGGTTTAACAAATGGTTTCCGTAGTTTGTTTTTTGTTTAAATTTATTTGCAATTTGCAACAACAACGCGGTTCCCTAAATGACTCATATCCTTTATTGGTTATGATTTTTAAAATATTTTACTCAAAGTAAAATTCATTTTATCATATCAGTGCACTTAATTATAAATTTAATAGTATTTTTGTTAGTGTATAAATGTTAAGAAACTGCTTAAAAGCATAAATTATGCATTAGTCATACAAACTGTTAATTGCACCTACTTAACAGTACATAAATGTTATCATTCTTACTTTGAGGACCTATTTTTGATAATGTTGTAAACAAGTTTATTTCTAAGATTCTTAGTAATCTAAACTTTCTAGAGATGAAGATAAAGAAGGAAGTTATATGGACAGCAACCCCAGCATTTACAATTTATAATCCTCTTATAAACTGCGTTAGGATTGATGTTAGGGTTCTTGACAGTCACAACTTTTTATACAGGAAAAATATATGAAGGGCCCTTAAAAAAATATATACATGTTTCTGGCCTCCTGGCATAAACAAAAATATGGTTGGTAGTTTGGTAATATGATTTTATTTGAAAAATGTTTTACATAGACTTTATAGGGAAGTGTTCTGGACTTCATAGACTATATAGGCTAGTGTTCTGGACTTAAACCGTGCTAAACCAAAAATGTCAGGCCTGGGACATAAACAGTGTTTAACCAAAAATGTCCTTAAAATGTGTTAGGGAAAGCATGAAAATTTAGGGTAGGTAGGGAGGAAGGAAACATAATTATACTTCTTGGTTATTGAAGCATTAAAAATAATATGTTCTGTAGCTGAAAATAGAAAAAATTGAGTATTTAGGAGATAGTGTCCATCAACAATACTTCTGACTAGTTAGAGATGTACCAATAGGTTGACCTTTATCAAAACTCGTGTATACCTGGTTAGGATAACTGACCATAATGTTTTGTATAATGCCAATTGATCTAAAAGTTAAGGGCAGACTATTGTTAAAAGTATTACATGATGTTTATTTACCAAATGTCATTCCTTTCTATCACCAAGATTTATATCTTTAACATTAAAATAAATATTAATAATAAATAGTATAAGTCATTATACAATATAATCCAAGATTGAATATATATTCAATGGTCAGACACCCCTTAACCTGATATAGAGATTTAACTGTACCTATTATGTGGTAAGAATAATATTAATCAAGATTGAATCGAGTTATGAAATTCTGATAGATTATGATAAATAGGTGTTTAATATCCCTTTCATACCAGGTGATTAATTTCAATTTTCATTTTAAAAGTTAATGGCATTAATCAGCTATACTTTTAAGAAACAGAGAACAGTTAGGTTGAATGTACTTGAAAGTTGTAGTACAAATGTATCCCATATATTTTGTTAGATCAACTTTACTTTTAACATACTAAAGCTGATTTAGTTCTCTTTTTTTACCTTCAGATATACTTTGGGTAGACTTTTATTCTTATAAATCAGATTACGAAATCGTTAATCATTTTGGTCTACAAGATTGACAAATAACAACACTCATGTTGTGTAAAATGAAAATTAAGTATTATATAAGTAGATTTTTCCGATAAGAGATTGATATAGTTCAGAAAGATATCATGCACTTTATATGGAATTGATATTATAGTTTTCTGATTGTTTAAAACCACTGATGAATGCAGCATAGTGCAAGGCCATTTTTGTCCTTTGAATAAAATATTTATACAGGATTTGAAAAGATAGATTATGGAATTCTCAAGCTGGTTTGTATGTGATTTTACCTTCTTTCAGGCAAATTTTTCTTCTTAATCAATTAACTCAAAATTTGTCAGGCTGCACATACTTAGCTCAAGCAAAGATTTTTGTAAGGCATAATAAGGCCTTTTTCCATGAAGTAAAAATTGGGTCACATCCTTTTAAGTCCTATCAAAACCATTTAAGGTTATTCAGTTCATCTGGAATTTATGACCACAAACGTAATTTAATAAGATTATTGGACTTGTTATAGATTTAAGATTGAGTCATTTTCATATGATAATTACTGAAACTGGTCATTATGTAAGAGTAACTCTCTTTCTAGGTCAAATAGAATGTACTTGAAAACCTACTTCTACTTTGGAAACATGATTTTTATGAACCATTGTAGTAAATTATGTATGTATACACTTTCTCTCTGTTTGATACGTTTCGTGGTACGGGGTATTCTAGGATTAAGATTGAAATAATTTGGACTGGTGGAGAGAGAGAGAAAAAAAATGTAAAAAAACTAAGAAGAAAATCATGACAACTTATTAAAACTTATTTGAACCCCATATTTAGACTGTTAAAGTTCTTGGACAAAAAGAGGAAATATGACAAACATTTCTTTTGAAACTTTCAATCTTGGATATTTCTTTCTTCTTCAAATATTGCAATGCCGTTTATGTATTTGAAGACATTAAATGTCAAAAGTTTAGTGTTACATATTTGGTAGTGTAGAGCAATTTCAAATCTGGAGGCTTCAGTTTAAATCAGTCCTTGAGAATGCTTACAGGTCATGGTAAGATAAAGACCAGTTTACACATGTTAGTAACTCAGTTGAAAGTATGTTGACCTGTAGATATTTTTTGGTTATTTAGGTCATTAGGTTTTGTCTTGTTGACCTATACCCCATATTTTCTCTAATTCATATTTCAGAATAAGCCTTTAACACATGTTTAAATGTTTTATACAATCTGATCCAACATAAATTTATAATGGTACTCTATGCTGTGGAATTTTTCATCTTTATAACTACCTTTTATGACCTAAAAAGTTATTTGGAAAATTGCAACCAAATTACTGCAAAGTAAAAGTTGATATAAATTCTGTCATTATTACAATTGAAAAACAAAGGGAGATCAAAGATTGAAAGTTTCAAAAGAAAATTACAGCTAATGAGGGTAATTTGAGTGTCAAAAGTTTATTGTAACACAATTGGTGTTCCGGTGTTATAGGGTACAACTTTAAATCTCCAGGCTTCTGATAAATTGATAAGTCTGTGAGAATTCTCTTGGTCTCGGAAAGAAAGGATATTTGTAAATACTACTGTAGGTATAGTTTCAGAGGCTGATTTAGGGGGGGGGGGGGGGGGGGGGGGGCAGCCCACTGCCCCTCTTTTGGCTGCCCCCCTTCTGGAGCTTGGAGCTTCATATTTGATAAATGCATAGACTTTTTACAAGTATCAATCACAACATTGGCTTGCCAGGGGCCCCTTTTTTGAAAACCCTGGACCCACACCTGTGTCTGGTGTCATATGGCTATATTGTAGCATTAATATTTATGGGTAAGAATAAAAGTCCAACATACAGTCCTCAACAATAGAACCCAATATTATAGCCCATTTAGCTGGAAACTCAGAATACAATTATCTGTGTAGTGTACCACCTATCAACCAAAATTTCCAGACTGATTGAGAAAAATGTGTTTGGATTTAAGACTCAAGTAATTATTTCTTGGAAATGTGAACCTCTATCTTATCCATGTTTGATGTAATTATGGAGATATGATTGATGTTATATTGAAATTATCTTTCTTTATATAAACTGATAATTTTCTCATTAGGGAATAAATCTGTCTGATCCTTTAGTAGTGTCTATCGTAGGTGTTTAGATATACAATATAAATAGGATTTGTTCTGGTGTTAGAAAACAAAATTGGATTATTGGGAAAGATTGAAAATCCAGCTTTAAGTCTGATATAATGAAGGATTTTGAATAATATATAAGTTTAATGTTCCTTGTAAAAGACTTTCAAATCATGTTTTTCACAATCTGTGTGGAGGATATTTAATTTATACATGTCAAATGTTGTAATGTAGCAATTTTGACTTCTGAGGAATTAGCTCTCAATGCCTAAACTGAAATGAATATTTCAAAGTTTACAAAAATCTTTTGGATAGTAGTGTACTGGTAATACTAATTATACTCTGATGTAATATGTACCCTTTTCTGTTCTAAATTATGTAACTTGACGCACCTCAATATAAAACTATTTTAATGCTACATTTAAGCCTAAAGTCAACATAAACCCACAGTTTATAAATGTATAAAGGGAAGACTTGTTTTTTGAAAAATAAATTCTGAATTAGAAATGACTAGAAGTGGAATAATTTGTTTGAGATATACTATTTACTGTTATGATATTGATATTTCCTGGTGAATATTGACTCCCCATGCTGCATCAGTGGATATTGTCTTTTTACTTTTCATCAAGTAATCAATTCCCATGTAAATCCTGCATGTCAAACTCAGATCAATAATACTGGAAAAAAGTGTTCATTTCAAAACACTTGATCACTGATCAATTTCCCTGGTGTAGGTGTGTGGTAGCATCCTTATGGGGCTCAGTATGGGTTTTTCTGATATTATTTTAAATTATGGAATTGTATGCAAAAAATATTCTTGTAATATGAAATTGGCTGTTGGTTTTCTCTTTTGAATTGTTTAAGATATTGTTATTCCTGGTACTTTTAAAGCTTACTATACAGAATGGGTTTTGCTTATTGTTGAAGGCTGTACCTGTAATAATTCATATATTTGTCCTTTTGGTCTATGGGTAGTTGTCTCATTTGCAATCATATGTTTGCATCTCCTCATTTTATATTGAGTCATAAATGTCTTTGAAATGTAAAGAATTATATAATATACCATATAAGGAAGGGTTGTTTATTTATTGCCCTTTCCTTCACCTCTATCACCCTGCTGAGTCGCTCTGTAATTTTCGTATCATGGCTTTGAGACATGAGCTGATCTTATCAACACTTGACAATATCTGAGGAGAACTTATCAGCAACTTCTTAATGTGTGAGGAAACATTTTCAAGCTTGAGTTCGTCAAGCGTAAAACTGCGTAAGGGTGGGGGGAAAACCAGAAAAAGCATGATAAATAGATGATCAGGTTTTCTGTGTAAAGATGCAGTAAAATATCAACCGCTCAACACAATCTTTTCTGCTTGTTCTCTGTGCTCACTTGCCAAAAAGGTTCACATTGTGGCTGGTGGCTGATATTTGACGATGTCAATGTGCAGAAAACATATCTAATTTTTCTTTTTGTAAATTGAGGAATTTGATGTTAATGGCAGATCTATGAAGTGTCTGCTAAATGTATTCACAACTTGTTTTGACTCAGCTCTGCTAAATGTATTCACAGCTTGTTTTGACTCAGCTCTGCTAAATGTATTCACAACTTGTTTAGACTCAGCTCTGCTAAAGGTATTCACAACTTGTTTTGACTCGGCTCTGCTAAAATTCACAACTTGTTTTGACTCAGCTCTGCTAAATGTATTCACAACTTGTTTTGACTCAGCTCTGCTAAATGTATTCACAACTTGTTTTGACTCGGCTCTGCTTAAATTCACAACTTGTTTTGACTCTGCTCTGCTAAATGTATTCACAACTTGTTTTGACCTCGGCTCTGCTAAATGTATTCACAACTTGTTTTGACTAGGCTCTGCTAAATGTATTCACAACTTGTTTTGACTCGGCTCTGCTAAATGTATTCACAACTCGTTTTGACTCGGCTCTGCTAAAATTCACAACTTGTTTTGACTCGGCTCTGCTAAATGTATTCACAACTTGTTTGGACTCAGCTCTGCTAAATGTATTCACAACTTGTTTGGACTCGGCTCTGCTAAATGTATTCACAACTTGTTTTGACTCAGCTCTTCTAAATGTATTCACAACTTGTTTTGACTCGGCTCTGCTAAATGTATTCACAACTTGTTTTGACTCGGCTCTTCTAAATGTATTCACAACTTGTTTGGACTTGGCTCTGCTAAATGTATTCACAACTTGTTTTGACTCAGCTCTGCTAAATGTATTCACAACTTGTTTTGACTCGGCTCTGCTAAAATTCACAACTTGTTTTGACTCTGCTCTTCTAAATGTATTCACAACTTGTTTGGACTTGGCTCTGCTAAATGTATTCACAACTTGTTTGGACTCAGCTCTTCTAAATGTATTCACAACTTGTTTTGACTCCGCTCTGCTAAATGTATTCACAACTTGTTTGGATTCGGCTCTGCTAAATGTATTCACAACTTGTTTTGACTCGGCTCTGCTAAATGTATTCACAACTTGTTTTGACTCAGCTCTGCTAAATGTATTCACAACTTGTTTTGACTCAGCTATTTAGAGCTTGAAATATTGTACAAACATTTTTTTGTTGTTGAAAACTGTTTGTTGACATCTGATGTTTGTAGGAATTTGTGTTTTTGGGTTGCTGTCTTATTGATGTACACCCTACATCTCCTTTTACTCATACTGTTTACTTTATTACTTCCTTGAATGATGTCAGAAGATCTTAAGTAATTACCTAAGGATTCTGATTGACATCATGTTCTTAATATAGAAACATTTAATTAAATAATTCAAATAGTAGTTATTGAAAATCTTAAAATAGAACAAATCAATTTCCATAGTTTGGTCATGAGTTTGTAAAGATCATAGAAACTGTATTATTTCTAAAATTCTGTTATTTGAGAACAAAAATTGAACTTATGTCCTTTTAAGTGTAAATCTTGATAAGATATGTTTCCTTTTTTCCAAAGGGTGACACATTGTCCCTTGTAGAAAATACCACTGTTAATGATTGACTGATAATCCTATCTTGATTGATTTATTCATGCTAAAAATTGTCATTGTTAAATGTCCTTGAATGACTTTGCAAAACATGTAAGAAAAACCAGAAAATTTCTTTAAACTAGAATTGCTGGGATCATAGGGTGAAAAGAAAATTGATGTATACCCGGCCTAAACAACTGTATGCCAGGATCATTTATTAGTACGAAACATTGGGACATTGAAGTTTTATTGTTTAAACAGTTTAAAATTTAAAAATGCTTTTATTTTCTGGCAATTTTAAAAGTGATCTGCATTACATGAAATGTTTATCCCAATATATGATTAAGCTAGTTTTAATTTATATGTCTTGAGATGACCCATATTTTTCATGACAAGACAAAGTCAGCAGTTTTGTAGAAAAGTCACCTTTTCAATGAAAGTCAAAAGAAAAATGTTAATATTCACTCATAAATCTAATCTTGTCTATAAATATTTTCCCAAAACAAACTATTTAGCTACATTTGTAAACATTGTCTGAGATCTATAAACAAATACTTCAAAGTTGTTTGGTCTGTGGAGAGTAGATAAAAAGAAAAATATTGATTCAACAGTCGAATTTTGTTATCATTTTAGCACTTTATCTATCAGGAGTTAATTTTATGTAGTTATAACACTTTTAGAGAAGATATAGGCACAAAGGATAAGGGACACCCTTTTCTAGAATGTCTAAAAATAAGTCTTATAAAAATTGTATGTTTGTTTCCCTTGCTAGCCATCTGCTATTTTAAAAGCGGTTTGCATTTTACTAGCATTTTGAACTGTGTATATTGATTGGAGCTTTAGTTGATAGTGGTGTGTATATTAAAGTAAAGTCAATTCATATAACACTATCTACTATCATGGTGAGAAAAAGTAAAAATCTGTGCTATTGTCATTGCTATATAGTTATATGTGAAAAGTACATTTCTAAATATAGATTGTTTTGTCTAGTTTGTATATTTTGAATGTTGATTAGAATCTAGTTAGGTAAAATTTAATAAATTAGTTAATCGTGAAGTCTGAAGCTGTAAATGACTTTGAAAAATAAAGATAAAAAAATTAAATGGTTTTCTATCTTAAAGTTTGGGTGAATATTTAAAGACCTCACATGTTTATATATAATGAAATAAATTTTAAATACTCTATTTTTAAGCCAAATAAGGTTCCTAACACACACCCCGTAAGATTAATCTATATAGTTTCCATGATATTTCTTGAATCAGACATGTACTTAGAGAGTCCACAGAATAATGTGGTTGAAATTAATGTAAATTTATGCATTAACAATTCAGTTTCTTATGTTTTATCTTACAGGGAAATCAGACATCCAAACTAAATTAGATCATGCTATGAAAGATGTAACAGATAAATACATGATGTTAGAGGAAGCAGAAAAGTCAGCTGTAAGGACAGCACTGATTGAAGAGAGATCTAGATTCTGTTTGTTTATCAGTTGTCTTAGACCTTTTGTTGTAAGTTCACAAGTTCCAGGGTAACATTTAGAAGGGCAAAAACACAGATGAAAGCTGGCAAATCAAAAAGAAACAACGCTAACTCTAAAAATACAAATAATGGCCAAATTATAAAATAGTTGTATTAGCTGAAGCAGATGTCATTGGATTTGACAAATTGATATAAAATAAGGAGATGTTGTACGATTGCTGATGAGACCATTATCTTCCAGAGTCCAAATAGCATATATTTAAGAAAAAGTAGGTCACTCTATGTCCATCAATAAGCAAAATCCATTCTGTAAAGTCAGCTGTATAAGGCTCTGACATGAGATGCATTTTATAAATAAAAAACAACCCAACAAATTGAATAAAAAATTCCAAACAAATATAACAGATTCCAGTGACATATTATTCATTTTATTGCTTGTACTTGTGATAGTTTTATTTGATTCTAAACATCTTATTTTGTGCTGCAAGTTAAATAACACAGGGATGGAACTTATTAATCTGTTTACAGAAATTTCACCAACTTAACTATTTAACTTCAATCCATCTGTAATGATATTGATAGTTTATAAAATTTTATTTGACTATAGGCCTTTTGCCAGAATCTTTTACTGGAATGCACTGTGACCACAATAATGAGTTCAGACACTAGTTAGCTATAATATGTCTTTTCTTTTTATAATGATGTATCTTTGAGCATGTCATATGGAACTAGGAATAAAAAGAAAGGTCACAGACTAATGACATAATTACATTCCACAAGTCAGTCTTATGTAACCACAATTACTTTGTTACAATTATATAATGAATGATTGTGAAGCATACTCTACAATTAACATTATAAACTGAAAATGTTTGTTTATAATTAAAAAAAATGAGTTCATCAGTGCTTAATCAGAAACGTTGTTGATATTAAACAAGTATTATATATAAAATAGGTAATCAACAGGTATATCTCATAAAAAGTGGATTCATTTATTTGCTTTGTGGGGTTTCATGTGACTTTCAGGAAACTAGTAGGAGTACAGGATGAACAATAGGTCTTTGATACGTTTCTGACACACAATTTATCATGTATAATGTGAGCACCCTTTGAATTACTGATGAGATGTTATATTTGAGTATGGTAATGGGAATCAAGGTTCTAATTTATGAACTGTGTATTTTACAGGAGCATGAGCTTAGCTTACTAACAGAAATCACACATTTACAAGATATTACACACAGTTTGTGTTTAATGGCTGGTGAACCTAATACGCTACCATCTTCCAGTGAACAGATTATTATGGACATAAAAGGCTCAGATAGTACCAGTTTCTTTAACAACCTAAGTGGGGTAAGACATAGCCAGTGCAAAACAGAGACGAAGGATACCAAAGGGATATTCACACTTATAAGTAAAAAACAAATGGCTAAAAAACAAAAAACAAAACAGTATACAAAAAACAAAATAGAAAACAAAAGACTGAACAACATGAATCCCATCAAAAACCAGGAGTGATATTAGGTGCTCTGGAAGGTTAAGCAGATCCTGCTCCACATACAAGATACACTATGAAATAATGTGTAAAAAACCACCTCTGTAGTTTCTTGTGAGACTTGTCTCTAGTGTAGGGTGTTGTGGGTTAGATTCTATTTGCTGCTTCTCTGCTAATGAAGAAGTATTTAGGAGTAAGTGCAAAGACTGGTTGGCCAGGAGTCAGAATAAGGGGTCCTGGTAGGACGACATGTCTTCCTGCGCACTGTTACATTGTGAACTAGCACTTTAAAAATCCAGCTCAATATGTTGGTCTAGTACAAAGCAGGGTAAATATGCATATCACGTCAACATGTTGTTGTCCTGAATATGCACATAATTTGCCACGCAAAGTTAAACAGTCATCCATACTCATGTGTGAAAAATTGTTCCTGGATAATTGACTGTATATGTACATAGATATTAATTCAAAAAAACATAGAGTTACCTAATAAAACTTAAATAAGTTTTGTGTACTTTAAACATGCTATTGTTAAATGAGCAAATTGCCATAATCTTTAAATATTGAACTAAATGTACAGAACATGAAATTAAACAAAATATTGAAAAAATCAAACAGACATATGAAATTGCTAATTAAACAAATTAATGCAAACAACATAAAATGTCAACCTAAATATTTACTTAAAATTTATCTTGCACAAGTTATATTTTCTTCACATTTTCAAACAATTTTAGGAAACCAATCTTTACAATTTAGTAATTTTATTTAACAGCCAAGCCCTCCAAGTTCACCGAGTTCCATCGGTTCAAGAAAGTCCAGTATGTGCAGCATCAGTAGTATAAATAGTTCATCTAGTGGTTCAGTACAGTCGCACTCACCAAGTCATCATACCAGGAACCGTAACTCATTACAGGTTAGTTACAGACAGTTTGTCTGCTGCATAGAATCATGTATGCTGTAGGCCAAATATAATTCAGGAATTTCATCTTCCTTTTTGACTTAATTTGCTTCAAAATAATGGCTTTTTCCATTTAATGATATATTATATACCAGATATTGGCTTTACGGTCACTATATCAAGACAAAAGGGATCTGTTTCTATTTGTGATTAAGACAAAATTGAAGTAAAGGTTTTTTCCCATTTTAATAACTTTTCGAAGATTGAATATTATTCATGGAAGTAAACCACAATTGATTATAGTTGCTATGGCATCATTAAGGTAAAGAGATTTTAACAACTTTTGAGAAGATTTGTTTATGCCATTTATCCTTGATAAGTATAAAATGTAAAGATTTGAATGACCAAGCTGAGAAACTTGTAATAACATTGACATATCCTTATAATATGCTATTATTCTTAGATGAACATTATTCTCTGTATTTGCTGTTAAGCTGAACGCTAAAAAATAGGTATTATTATTCCGATTTACTGAAAGATTTAACATAGTATTGCCATCATAGTTCAATAGCAGTCAGATTAAGTACCAAATTTTCTGTCGGAATTAATTTTTTTTCACAATTTTCCAAATAAGAACTACTTAAATTGCATTTACTTTAAGCTATGAAGCCGATGAAGTGTTATAGTGTCTCCTAAATAGATTATGTATCTGTTTTGGGGACATGAAGGAAATAAATGTTTTCTCCAATAAGACAATTTTCTAATGTACATTCTGCAAAAGGAAAAAACAATTATATCTTGTCGTAAATCTTTTTGTGTAACATGAAATAATCACATAGAAAGTATCTTAAGCTATTTATGGCTGAACAAATATCCTGAATAACTCATCATAAAAATGGTGGATTTTCTATAAAAACATCTGTTTTGGAAACCGATCAATACAATCTGTGACAAGTGTCTTTATTGTTAAGATGGAATTAAATAAGTTAATACTACATATTGTAGTCAGTTGGTAAATTAAAAAGTCTTTGCTGTTAAATCTTTGTAAAACAGCTCGTGAGAGTTCACTGATAGTCCATCAGGAATGAATTAAATTAAATAAAAGTTCAAGGTTATAATTCAAAATAACATAGTAATCCTCTATGAAACCCATCTTTTAGATTCAATTATTAAGAATTATTTTTCGAATCAGGAATGTTTTTGGTCCCCATTCTAAGAAATGTTGAACTTGTAGATTTTTAATTCTGTTTATGTTGTGACAAATTTGTTGCAATTATTGTAATAAAATTAAAAGAATAATGTGCATTATTGATAGTATTTGTACATGACAACGCAAGGCATTAGATATTTTAAGCCCCTGCCGTCACCAGAGGGGTCATCAAATGTAACCCTTGTCCGTCGGTACGTACGTCCCTAAATTGGTTTCCGTTCTCTAACTTAAGTTTACCTCAACCAAATCTTATGAAACTTACACACAATGCTTATTACCACAAAACACAGATCAAGTTTGAATTTGGTGGCGTCACCTTAACCGTACTCGAGTTATGCTCCTTTGTAGTGTTGTTGCAAGCTGGGGCATCATCTGTGTCCCATGGACACATTCTCCTTTTATTTTAGATTAACATAATCCTTTTTCATGGGACACATTCTCCTTTTATTTTAAATTAACATCATCCTTTTTAAAAAAAAACAACTGCCGTCTGAAAGTTTGTTATTGATATTAGTTAATATGGAAAAGATTTGATTATCTTGTTGGATATAATAAAGAAGTAATAATATATTTATACTCATGTAAATTTGAAGTAACATATGAAGTTCATAATCAATAAGTGACTAAGTGTATACATCTTACATGTATTAAAAAAGATCAGTTATGTAAGAAACTTGTATATGATTACTATCAGTATGCTACTGAACATATGTGCTTTTATATGAATTTGCTGGTCACATGAAGTGTTTGCAGAGAAAATTGCTGAAAGTCTTAAAATCCTTTGATAAGATTGAATAGTTTAAACATTGCTCAGGTTCTACTTTTCTTCTCTTCATACTGTTCAGTATTACACAATATATGCATTGTGTTATCATGTATCAAGTTCACATATTTTGTTGGAAAAGATTATCAAGTCTTCAGACAGCTAAACTTTATCAATGATCTTAAAATTTGTGGTAAATTAGATATTTTCATAGGAGATACATAATTGTAAAATCAATGCTGGTGTATGCTACATTAATTTCTTACTATAACAATGCTAAAACATAACTTGATGGACAAGTTACTGTAGATTCATTATTATTTGTGGGATACATATTTTTATGGATTTTATGGCTATCTGTAATCCACCAATTTAAATGTTGAACGAATAACAAATTTTCTATATTCTTGTATGCTCACTTTGGGAAAATTTTGAATTCAAATATCCTTGAAAATACAATTTTTCCTCAATCCATAAAAATTGAAACCAACGAAAAAGGAATCAACAGTATTATATGAAGATTATTTTATTTTGAAAAGATATCTACTTTATGTAGCTATTTATTGTCATATATACATGTTTTGTGTTAACATATTTGGGAGAAGACTCCATTCTTTATTTTATACTTATTTCATGCATGTTTTACTTCAACTATTTTATTTTCATAATCTGTTCATCTTGTAACATAAACAAGCATGAATTTCAGTTTACATTGAAAAGTATTTTCCTCATGTAGTATTCAACACCTAAGCCTCAACCCTTAGTGGAATGTTGCATCTTATATTATGAAAGATTCCTGCTTTAAAGTCAGAAATGAGATTTGAGTTTTAAGCTTGGTCAAGTTTTTAAAAAAAAAAAGGGGGGAGAAATTGAATAGATTCATGAATTGTTTGCACAAAAATTATGAGTTAGGTGTGTAGTTGATATTTAGTAGTTATGTAGATGTATTTTACCATGTTGCTTTTTCTAAATTTTTGATTGTTTTATATTTTTAGAGAAAATTTCCTTTATGTCTCATAGATTATTTGGAAAATATATTGTAAATTTTAGAGGAAAATTCTTTTGATCTTTATTTTTCTCTTCAGTCTTAATTTTTGGCATGAATTTTGTCTTGTTTTTTCTTGGTAGCAATTTCCCATGGGTACAATACGCTTACAAAGCGTTTCATCACAGGACTCGGGATTCACTTCTCAAGATACATTGTTTCAGCGACCAGTCACCCCATCGTCACTTAATATTAGACAGAAGGTAGGAACCATGTAACCTCTCCCAAACTTCACAATATTGTCTTGTTTTGCATGCAGCCACATGTAGCTATAGTGAATGTAGATAATATGTCCAAGCATATAACTGTAGTTTTAGTTAGTTGTATTTTTATGTATCCCTGCACTTGCTATTACAATTGTATTTTTCACTAATATTTTTATGCCCCCGCCATAGCGGAGGGGGCATTAAGTTTTACCCTTGTCCGTACGTACCTACATGTTCCCAAAGTTGGTTTCCGTTCTCTAACATTAGTTTGCCTCAACCAAATGTTATGAAACTTATACAAAATGCTTATTACCACAAAACACAGATCACTTTGAATTTTTTATACGACCGCAAAAATTTTTGCGGTCGTATATTGGTATGACGTTGGCGTCGTAGTCGTCGTCCGAAGACACATTAGTTTTCGCAATCTAACTTTAGTTTAAGTGAATGGATTTCTATGAAATTTTACCATAAGGTTCATTACCACAAAAGGAAGGTTGGGATTGATTTTGGGGGTTATGGTACCAACAGTTAAGGAATTAGGGGCCAAAAATAAGCATTTTTGTAACTTCCAGACAATAACTTGTGTGTAAGTGTATGGATCCCTCTGACATTGTACCACAAGGTTCCATATCACAAAGGGAAGGCTGGAATTGATTTTGGGGGTAATTGCCTCAAAATTTTTAGGAATTAGGGGCCAAAAAAGGGGCCAAAAATAAGCATTTTTCTAGTTTCATGACAATAACTTGTGTGTAAGTGTTTGGATATTTCTGAAATTGTACTACAAGGTTCCATATCACAAAGGGAAAGCTGGGTTTGAGTTTGGGGGTAATTGCCCTAAATGTTTAGGAATTTGGGGCCAAAAAGGGGCTAAAAAACACATTTTTCTAGTTTCCAGACAATAACTTGTGTTCAAGTGTATGGATCTCTCTGAAATTGTACTGCAAGGTACCATACCACAAAGGGAAGGCTAGGATTGAGTTTGGGGGTGATGAATCATAAGGGGGTTCAAAAAATTTGGGGGGGGGGGGGGATTTTTTTTCCTTTTTATTCTTTTTTTCCGTTTTTTTTTTTCTTTAAAATTTTCCATTTTAAGTTGGTTATTTCTGATTTATATTTAAAAGCAAATAATAATGATATGGTAGGAGATACACACAAAACAGGATGTGTAAATTATATTATAAGTATTGTGCAATAGCAAGAAATTTTCAATTGCACAGTATTGCACAATAGCAAGAAATCTTCAATTGCACAGTATTGCGCAATAGCAAGAAATCTTCAATTGCACAGTATTGCGCAATAGCAAGAAATATCCAATAGCACAATATTGCGCAATAGCAAGAAATTGTCAATTGTACAGTATTGTGCAATAGCAAGAAACATTCAATTGCACAGTATTGTGCAAAAGAAGATACTTCGTATAAATTGCTTATTTCTTGACCAATTTCAATGGGGTTTTATTCTTGAATTCTTGGGGTTCTTTAATATGCTGAATCTAACCGTGTATTAAGTTTTTGGATTTTGGGCCCTGTTTTAAATTTGTCCACATTGAGGTCCAAAGGGTCCAAAATTAAACTTTGTTTGATTTCATCAAAAATTGAATTATTGGGGTTCTTTGATATGCCGAATCTAACCGTGTATTTAGATTCTTAATTTTTGGTTCCGTTTTCAAATTGGTCTACATTAAGGTCCAAAGGGTCCAAAATTAAACTTAGTTTGATTGTAACAAAAATTGAATTCTTAGGGTTCTTTGATATGCTGAATCTAAAAATGTATTTAGATTTTTGATTATGGGCCCAGTTTTCAAGTTGGTCCAAATCGGGGTCCAAAATTAAACTTTGTTTGATTTCAACAAAAATTGAATATATGGGGTTCTTTGATATGCTGAATCTAACCATGTATTTAGATTTTTGATTTTTGGGCCCCGTTATCAACTTTGTCCACATTGAGGTCAAAAGGGTCCAAAATTAAACTTTTGTTTGATTTCATCAAAAATTGAATTCTTGGGGTTCTTTGATATGCTGAATCTAACCATGTATTTAGATTTTGGATATTGGACCATAATAGGTGAATGTCCAATTTAAAAAATTTTTAAGTTCTTAGACCACATTCATACTGTGTCAGAAACCTATGCTGTGTCAAATATTTAATCACAATCCAAATTCAGAGCTGTATCAAGCTTGAATGTTGTGTCCATACTTACCCCAACTGTTCAGGGTTCGACCTCTGCGGTCGTATCAAGCTGCGCCCTGCGGAGCATTTTATTAAATAATGACTTTAGAAGGCAGAATTTTCATCATGTATCAATGAGAAAAGACATGATACAAATGTCAAGTATATAACAAAATATAGATAACATGACCCCATGAGTGACCATCATCTTTTGAAGACCGCACAACACAGTCGCATCTCTTGGGGTTTACGTCAATGTAATAGCCACACAACAACAAAAGTAACCAAAAGACATCTAGAGAGCTACAGTCTTCAACAAAAGACATCTAGAGGGCAACAGTCCAACAAAAGACATATAGAGGGCAACAGTCCAACAAAAGACATTTAGAGGGCAACAGTCTTCAACAAAAGACATCTAGAGGGCAACATTTTTCAACAAAAGACATCTTGAGGGCAACAGTCTTCAACAAAAGACATCTAAAGGGCAACAGTTTTCAACAAAAGACATCTAGAGGGCAACAGTCTTCAACAAAAGACATCTAGAGGGCAACAGTTTTCAACAAAAGACATATGTCTATGCAATATGTAAAGCTATGAATCTTCCTGGGTATAAAAGTTGTAAAAGATTTAAACAAGCAATCAAAGATCTGCCTTCAACAATTTAGTTTTCCATATAACAAAAAACATTAAGTAGATATGACATAAGACAATATCTGATGAGATTTCTGACTTGAGACAGGTCCATGAATATGTGGTGGTGTTAAACAAGTTGTTTGATATCTTCAAAAAGGGGCAATCTTTCATGCTGGGTAGAAAAATGGAAAGTATGAAAAAATGAGCCTTTACAGACTAGTGGTTTTATTCTGATTAGTTATACTCAAAGTCAATGATATACATTACACCCTTAAAATTGGTAGATTATAATCTTAAATATTTGATTATGCACAATGATTACATGAATAAAAGATATGCGTATCCTTCAATGAGAAAGCAACAAAATGACAAAAACAATGCTAAAGACCTTTGGGATATGATCAGTTGTAAGCAGTTGTAAAAAGAATCATATGGGTAAAAAATAATCTATATGTATTAGACTTATTGAATTTCAATGAATAAACAAAAATGGAAAAGAGAAAAACATCATAAGCAAACCTCATTTTTGCTGAAGTCTGGGAAAATAGCCTTATTTCCTAGTGAACAAAATATGACCATATTTTTTATACATGCAGTATTCTATATATTTTTTGTATTATGAGGCATTAACTGATTTTCAACATACTATCTACATAGGTCAGGAATTTTAAAGCCTTGTTTTATTGCTTTCAAACTGTTGGCTTAAGCTATAACAAACCTGTGTATAATGTCAGCATGAAATTGGAATGGAGTTTTCTCCCTTTGATTGGGTTTAACCTTATCTGAAACTTCAAAGCTTTTTTCTTTGATTTAACATAGCATTTACTTAATGGCATACTCTATGGGTTTCGTCTTCAATCTGTCTTTTTATGGAACAAATACATGATATGCTGAGCAATCACAGTTTTCAAATATGTTAAAAAGGTTATATTTATACTTCAACAATGATTTTCATCTTCCATTCTTATTATCAGGTTACAATATTGCAACTATTTGTTTACATTTTACCAACATATTTTTACCCCAAAATGGCACATGTACTGAGAATAAAATTGTATGGGACTCCTGATTGGATGATACAGGGTTGAAGACTTATCAATTTAGGTTTAAAATTCCAGAAAATTTAATTTATATTTTACTACGAAGTGTAAAAAATTTATTCATTGTATTAACCAATGAAATTTGTCTTTTCTATTTAGTGCAAAAATTGGAAGCATCCATTCAAATGTATTTAAGGTCAAATTTTTACCCAAGTTCAAATACTTTTTTTTGCTGCATTACTACTCTTGACATTTATAGGCAGCAATTTCTACCAATTCTTTCTGGTTTGTTTATTCTTTTTTAATAAAGAAATAAAATTTTGAACACCACTGGTAACCCACAAAAATACATTTCAGATAACTGTACTCTTGTAACCATCAGTAACAATGTAGAAGTATATATTTAAGCTGGACAACTGTTACTTCAGAAGCATAATTCAACCTTACTAGTACATGTATATGTCTTATCAAAATCTGATGTTTGTTGATATATTATCTACCTTTTCTCTAGCAGTAATCATTCTAAAATTAGTATTATAATGAAATATAAATTTTTGGAACTATTAACTTTTTAGTACAATGAGAAATTAAATTGTCAGAAATGTTTTTGCTTTAATCAAAGATGCCCCATATACCTAGCTTCATAAATCATTATTGAAATTATGGTTTCAAAATTTTGAAGAAATGCTTTTTTAGTTAAGATGAAAAGGTAGTACAGTAGTTTTTGAAGCCAAATATTTCCCTTAAGAACTAACAGTAAAACAATTTTTTTAGCAGTCTCCTTACCACTTAAAAAGATAATTAACTCTAAATCTTGTCTCTTCAGGATGGTGACAGTGCTAGTATAGGTGGCCATTCTGATACTGCGGATTCTTCATCATCAACGCCATCTGATAATACACCATCTGCTAGTTCTACATGGACAAACTGGCCAAATCAACCAATTACCACAAAGGCTGACACCAACATCAGACCACACACAATATCCTCTGCATATGAGAAAAATCATAACAGACCTGCTTTGTCTGCACAGTTGTTTGAACCTCCGCCACAGGAGAGTGCTGAAGACGAGGAAGTTCAAATGAGACATCCACATAAGAAGAAGACCTATAGTATAGCAGATACACCATATACACGTCCCCCTTCAGCTTCAATTAACAAAATGCAACCCGTACTTCCTCCGCTGGCACCAAAACCAAAAGTTAAAGCAGTAGCACCTCCAAAAATCCCATTATCAGGTATTTGTTATTCACTTACAGGTTAAATGAGTCAACAAAATGTCCAATGCAGTTTTAACACCAGCAGCTTAATGTAATTTGTAAATATTGCCAGGCCTTTCTTGTATGTGCAACAATTCTTATCAAACCTTTCAAGCTTGTCCTTTTTCCCCAAAATTTACTGAAATTAAGCAAATGGTAATTTTGTGAAAATTGAAGATATTAAATATCCTGTTTACAATGTTTTGATCTTGTCCAAAAAGTTTAAAAGATGGATTTTTTTGGTGGACCATTTGAACATATACTTGTAAACAATATTTAGCTATTATGAAAATTCTATCAGTCTTTCGTCAGTAGAAAATCCAAATAAATAAACATTTTTTTAACTCAGATGCTGAGCAGCCAGCTTATGTGAATCTGACCGATCTTGCCAACATGGAGAAGGATCGCCAAAGAGAACAGAGTACAGACAGTGACAGAACACCAACAGATAAAAGTCCTCCTGACACAGCTCCAATACAGGTAGAAAACCAAGTACAAATCTTATAATATTTTTACTAGAGTGGGCTTTTTTTTTTTATTTCAATGAATTATTAAAAAAAGAGAAGTGAAGTGAGAAATTTAAGGTAATCAAGATTTTGATTAATAAACTAATTTAGGAAAAATAATGCTTAGTTGCAACAAGTTCTTTAGGATCTTATGAAAAATGTTTTTTTGAGAATTTTGATTTAATTATTAAATGATTAATTCTTGTTGTCTATAATAATGTCCTCATGGACTATGTTTATTGATATCAAATGTTTAAGGTTCTTCATTCTGAGTTTTATTTACTAGTATAATACATATTTGCATGTTACAAATTCTCATTAAAAAGTTTTGATTTCAAGCATATAGTATTTGATAATTAGTTAAAATCCTTAAATGATATTCGGACAATATATATAGATATTATTCAGTATAATTTGTATATATATATCATTTATTTATCTTAATTTGTACTATGCTTGTTTTCGTTATATGTATAGTTATATACTATACTTGAAATATAGAGCTAGAAATTTTTATTCTGAAACTTTTGCCAGCATAAAAGATTTATTTTCTTATGCATACAAAATCAACCAGTGCTTTCAATGCATACTTTGCTTTGCAAAAGTTAGAACAAAGGGAGATAATTGTTTTAAAATATAATGATTTTATTGCTTATATATTTTGTTATGTTTTTTTTTTTACTTTTATTTTGCATCATTTTTTGCATGACTTGTTGTAAATAACCTATTTATAAGCTTATTAAAAATCTCAGACCAGTTATATGAAATATTTATAAAGACTAAGAAATCCTGTAGAAAAGGCAAAGTATTAATAAAACATTTATTTAGCATCCAAAATTATTTTAGCAAGTAAGGACTTTACAGACAATAACAACTTACTTGGTTGGACACAGTTTTGAGTGACAAGTCAGTCACCATCAAAACTTCTTTAGAAATCTTAGATGCACTGTTTAAATGAAATATTTACAAGATGAGAGAAGATATTAATTGTCACTTTAAATATCTTGCTGAAGACCTAAATGAATGATTGATACACATGTTTAGATAATTTTAGATACTTTCTAGTTACTTTCCTTCCAAATATTTTCATCCAAACACATAAGTAACATGCCCCCATAAGATAGTAAATCAATCTTTTGTACAATTGTACTTTCATCTGTTGACCTGCTATAGATTAGTTTACCCTATAATTCCACAATATTCGACTAATTCTTCTAATAAAGTCATAATGTTGCAGTTTAGCAGTGATTTGTGAAAAAACCAAGTAGATCAATTTATAACGAAAAAAAAAAAACCCATAAAAATAGTCTGGTTTGAGATTTTCATTTGAGTATTTGTTGACTAATGTACTCTTGCTTTCTTTCTGTGTGCCACAGTCCGGGTTACCCATGGACCTGGAGGAAGCTATCAAAGATCTTGATACATGTACTGCCGCATTACATACAGAATTTGAAACTGTTGAATTGAGGAAAGGGATGAAGGCAAGGGAATCCTGTAGATTTAGTTATGAAAATGTCTTATTCACAGATGAATATGGTTGTTTTCCTTTTTCTAAACAATGAAGGCAGATTGTTTTAAGAGCAAACAAATAATAGTGATTCATACATGTACATATGTATTAAAATTCACTATGAAGCCATGATTTGTAATCAATTTATGTTCACAAATTTCTGTAGAGAAATGGACTTATAATTAATGCTGAATTGGGTTACTTCTTAAATTTAAGGATTAATTACCTTTAACGAAAACATTAAAGTTATTTGAATTAATTCAAAAGCCATATGTTCATGACGATAATAAATACTTAATTAGACGACATTTATTGACATATGTGTTGATCGGTGCTTTGCAAACTTTTATAGTATTTCTAACAAAAACATTGAAGCATTAATTGTCCTGTTCTTTCTGGATAGGTTAATTCCTGAAATAATGTGTGCTTTCCATTTAGTAATAGATTTATTAAATATTTATTAAAAAATTTGTCCAGGCATTATGTTATTAAAAGTTAATAAACTTAGCTGAGAATTAAGCAAGGAAAGAGTTAGCACATTCTGTTTACTTAAGCAAAAAAGCAAAATGACTTGATTTACCCTGGTCCTCTAAGTAAGGTTTTATTTTTGACTTGTTAGTAACTTTTTCTTAAGTTTGGTAAACTTTGTTTCAGTGCTGATTCAGCATCAATACTATTTTATCAGTTGTTATGAATTCTTTGGTTATCTTCCCTGAAGTTTCTTTCTTTTTCTTTTCTTTTTATTAGTGCTCTGGGCTCATTCTTGAAAATGACACACATAACCATATTCACCTTTGAATAAGCTATGTCTTTGATTCTGTATTTTCATTATATTTATACATTTTACATACTATAAACTAGCTTAGCAGTAGATTTCCTCTTGTTTGTAATTTGTTACTTGCATTTGAATGTTGTAGCTTTTTTAAATTTAGTTTATTTTGCATATATATTTATTCAAGAGATTATGTTTTATGCATAAGAAATAGCATATAGTATATTTATTCAGTAGCTAGTTCACAAGCATATGTTTTAGCAGTACACTTCCCAAAGCTTTCTTTACATTAAGAAAATATCCTGTTTTAGTTACATTACAAATTGCATGGATTTTATTTAAACGATTGATTGATTGATTGATGGTTGTTAAATGTCCTTATTTAAAGGAAGATCTGATAACTTTGCCATCAAAAAGGAAAGAAAAGAAATTAATAGTGAAACACTGACCGTGCAAGATCCTCCTGGGAAGTCAAGGTTGTTAAACACCCTGTAGTTATAGTTTGAATGAGAAACTTATAGAGGTTACATTTTTGTTTTATCCAGCAACTAAAACTTCAGCAATATAACTGCATGTTAATAATGCTACCAACCACCAAAAAAACCATGAATAATACATTTTGTTTGATCTTGCAACTTAGAGTAACGAGAAGAATATCTAAGCAATGTAACTGCATGTTTATCAGAGACATTATCATATACCACCAAAACTCTACATAACACTGAGTATTTAGTGAGTAATATTTAATCAGACTCATGTAATAAGAATTTAACTATTTATTACATAACAGATAAATGCTAACATATTATAAAGTTAGAGCTTTTTAGAGAAAACAAAAAGTAAGGAAATTTTGATTTGAGTACAGAGAGTTGATGTTCTTTTATATTTTTTGCAGAGAAAGCAGAATTCAATGGAGCTGGCTAAAGCTATCCAGGAACTAGAAGCTAGTACTGCAGCGTTACAGTGTAATTATGAGACATCCAGTAATGCCAGTCAACACTCACTACAGTGCTCCAGTGGATATGGTACCATGAACAGTACTCCATCAAGTTCCGAAGATACTATTGCTACTGGGGGTTAGTATATTACTTACAAGAGAAAGGGCAATTTGATTTAAGGCTGTACTAGTAGAATTATTTTATTTATTTTCATTGCCAGTTTTGAAAGGAACTGAGAATCTCCAAACATAATTTGACTAACAAGTTGTGTCTGCTGTCTAAGAAAGAACAAATGAAGTTTTCAGTGCATTGATCCCAAATTTATTCATAACAAATTAAAAAGTTTTTTATTGTAAGATTTGCTTTTGAATATCAAACAACTTCTTATTAATCAGTACGTTTTATGTTTTCATTGTATCTAATATGAGTTTTGATTGATCACATATGCTAATAAATGATTGTTAATACTAAACTATGGACTACATAACTGCATTGATTTCCATTTTTTGTCAGGAGCAAAACTTATCTAAATTTAGAAGTAAAAAATTTTAAAAAGGGATACATAATTATTCCTGTTAATGTTGTTTGGTCCAGATTATGCATGGGATATATGTCACTGGACATTAAGTAAGCAACAATCAAATCAGACCTGTTAAATGTTGAACCATCACTAAAAGGTGGGATTTTTGCAAAAGAAGGCCATTTTTGATGAGTTGAAGAATCATGCATGAAAAAAGTAATTTATTATTTTTTTTTATATTTTCTTCTTCTTCATTCTGAGTATTTATAAACATACTGTCCAGTTTAAAGTTCATACTTACCAACTGAATTTTGTAGTAAATAATTATTTCCATAGTATAATGTGCTGTGTATATGAATGTTGTCAGTAAACTTTTATATTTTGTTTTACTTTCTTGCATCAGTGCATGTTTAACTCTTTGTTTTTTTAATCACAAACTCTATGATATTTTAACATTTACTTGTTTAATATCTTCTGCCTACTGTAAATTCAGAAATTATTGCGTGCATTTATTATTGCGAATTTTGTAGAATGGACTTAAATGCGAGATTATTTATTGCGATTTCAGGAAAATCTGCATACAGTTATGTGTATCAGATATAAGAATGCAAGTTCTTAATATTGCGATACTCATTCAGTCGCATTATTCGCATTAATAAAAACCTCGCAATAATTTCTGAATTTACAGTATTTGAAAAGCCTTTCTGGGAAGTATATCTATATCAGACTCGACAACTTGATTTTTTATTCTTATTTTATAAATTAAAGATAACAGTGGATAATTTTCAAACATGAATTTATTCCATGCATGATGTAAATACTGTGAATCCATTTGATTGGTTTAATAACTATTTTTATACATACACTATCTTTTGATATTTCTTGCTTTTAAAGGGGATACATTTGAGAATTCCCAAATCAAAACATTCCTGTCAAAACAAATGGTATGAATAAAAGGGGCTACATCAATGCTACATCAATAAAATAACAACCCAACAACAAAAAAATTCGAACAACATCAAGATGTCATCATATGGTTTTCTATACAATATGTCCATCTCTAAATCTCCAAAATCTTCAAAAGGGAATAAATTTAAAAGAGCATATACAAATTTTGCCATCAATGCTAGTTTCACTAATGAAGAAATAAAAAGGAAACAGCATTAATATTTAATAAAAGACATTCATTGATGAAGTTCCTGACTTTGGATACTGTGGATTAATATATTTTTGTGGGTACCAATTTTCTGTGGATTGGGAAAACAATGCATTTTTGTAAATATTTGATTTTGTGGTTTTGCCAAAATCTGCTTACAAGCCTATAGAAAATTTGCATTTCTTTGTACATTTAGATTTGTGGTTCATCTATATCCACATATATCGAGAAAATTTGTATCACACGAATAATAACAAATCCACAGTTGCTGGATTAACTTTTTTTTGAGAATCTCAAATCCCCTCTTTAAATCCTCATTTTCCATTAATGAAAGTTATCTCACAGTTTTACATTGTGCATTAATTGCTATTTTGCATATGAATCTTGTGCATTTGTTATTGGAATGTTGCATGTGTGTGTTGTACTCTCTTGCAGACTTTGTTCTCAGTAGAGCTAAGGCAGAGCAAGAAAAATATTATACAATTCCTAGAAATTCAGAAATAGGAAATGTTTATAAAGCTGTATTACAATCCAAACGACCCGCATCTACAGCAGGTAGGTTTTGTCCCTGTAACAGTTGTCTTTATATTTTTTAAGGTCAGACAAACACCAAAAGCACTAAAGTCGATAACATCCAACTGTAATATACAGTTGTCAAAATACATATAATGTAATGAATTATCTCCCCTCAGTATTATCATTCAACTTGTAACCAAGCTTTGATTATAAGTTATAGCACCAGAATTATAGGGAATGACAAACAATTGAATGAAGCATCAATTACAGTAAAGTTTTAATTCAAAAGTACTGATAATATAACATTTTATTCATGATAAAAGGCCATTGAGTACTTTATGGTTGGTTTTAGTCTTAAATCCTCCCTTAATAGTGAATAGTTCATCTATTTTTAGTCTTCAGTCCTTGGCAGTTTTGTTTTTAATCTGATATGTATGGTTTCTCATTTCCTTTTATTAAGGATATACAAGGGTAGAAATGTCCAAACCAGTAAATCAATTTTGGTTAAACTTTAATTGCCAGTTCATTTTGCCATTATGTAAAAAAAATAAAAATTTGGAAAGGGAGTTGGAATATTTTAGACTTTGTGTACACACTAGAGTTTGATTGTTATAAAGTCATACATCAGTAAAGGAAAAGGATACGTCCACATTTTTGTCCCCTTGAATTCAAATATCAAAAAGTATAAATCTATCAAATAACAGCCTTCAGATGTTTACAAGTCCTTAGGTTGTCAGATATCAGCATATTTATTAATTGTGTCTTGCATATTTATTCTTTGGAGTAAAACTTTATTTACATTTAGACATAAGCAGAGTTTTAACCTGAAAAGATATTTTGCCAAGGATGTCTTGTGCAAATATGTTAATGTGGGTAGTTTATGTTTTTGAGTGAGGCCTTTGATAATACTTAATTTTACCCCCAAAAAAAACTATATATAAAATGGATGTTTTAGGTCAGATATGCAATTTCAACATTTTTATTTCATCACAACTGCAATTATCAATTCTTATTCATTTATTTAATAAAATTAACGTGATTTTGAAAGGATTGAAGAATTTCATGTTTTTTCGAAATTTTGGGTCCAGATTTTAGCTATTATCATACCTATTTCTATGTCCAGTAACTGATTCACTTATAGGAAATGTAAAAATAATTGAATTGATTGTTTGCATTATGGCAGCAACAATTTATACACCTTTTTTCCTTTTTTATGAATTAGAATTTTGAAAATGCATTTATTGACTTTTTATGAGAGACCAGCTGAGCATTCTTCTTATCAAGACCTTTAATGCTTCTTCAAAACCTTGAATGTAATATCATCATCTTTCTGTATTACTCTCACCTCTTTCAGAAATCCTATGTTTTATATATGTTAAATTTATGCAATGTAATCACATGTAAAAATAATCCTGCAGAAAACTATATGATCACGTTATTTCTTTTTCTCAGATGGCTTCATGATTTAAGAATGAATATATTTACATATCTGAATTTTGAGTAGTTATTACAGTTCTTAAATGGAAACATATACATATTTTTTGTATTGTTACAATATATGAAATAAGCAACTTTTTATTTGTTTTAGGTATTCCTGTGTCTGGTGTGGGTTTGGGGAGAAGAAGTTCAATGAATCAACAGCAGAGTAAACCACCACCTCCTGTTAGAAGATCCTCATCAATCACTACTGCAAATCCTGCAGTACTGCAGAAACTCCGTAAAACACCACCTCGTGAACAACCACCAATTCCTCAGTCTTCAAGTAGACCTGGTTCACATCGTAGAAGTGGCAGTTCTGGAAGTCAATCAGAACCTGCTTATGCTGAACTGCAAGAGATTCAGCAGAGCATCCAAGCACGACAAAGTCGTCATGAACATCAAGAAACTATTTATGCGTCTACAACTGCTGCTCAAAATCCCTACAATCAACACAATTCTTCACAATATGTGCCTAATTCACAACCAATATATGGACATGCCGTGCCTCCAGATGCTCGTGCCATGATGCCACCACCGAGTGGACCACAGTATTCTCAGACTGGTGTGCCACATTATCACCAAAATCTTCCTGCAGGTCAGGTCGATATGGTTAAGAAACTGAATGCACGTTTTGCTGCTATGAATGCTTCATTACAAGAAGAGGAACTACCACCTCCCCCTCCTGACATTATGCATGATCCAGATTTGCCTCCACCCCCATCAGCAGAGGAACTTCAGGAAATTGGATGCACATTTAGTCAAGCCCCACCCCCTGTATATTCTAAACCCCAAACAAACAATAGCAGTGACAGTATTCGTGCTTCTCTTGTGTCTGAACTCAAATCAGGACCACGATTAAAACGTGTCAATTCTAAAGATGAGGGTTCAGAATGCTAGTATCCAGAGAATCTTAGAAGTAGATTTGTGTTTTGTTGGGTTTTTTAATGTGTGACAGTAGCAGTTTAAAACTATGTATGAAAGGCTGTGTTTTATTGATATATAATTGGCTTGCTTGTATAAACAGTTGCACCATTTGATATTATTGAACGCTTGTTTTAATGATGATAAATCCAGTTTTAACATTATGCTATCTTCCTAATAAATGCTATCAGTATTTCTCATACCTCAGGATAAGTTATTATTTAGGTTTCAACAGCACCAATCATTTCTGTAAATTGTTTTATGTTTTTGCTTGTTTATTTAGGATACTTTTCAATATTTTAGAGCAACCTTAACATTTTTTTACCACTACATTTTATAATGTTTTTTTTTTTTATTTTAGTTTTATCAAGTGTCTGATAACATTTGGGAAATTTTTTTTAAAATGAATTTTCCAAAGTTTTTAACATTCAATTGCAAAATGGAGTAGATGAGACAGGGGCCTTACTTTGCTTGTCATTTAGAGTTTACATATATATCAGACATGTGCAAAGTGTCAACTTTATGAGTGCTTATTAAACAAGTGGAAAGTATGAATGTTATGAATTTTCACTACAATTTTAAGTATGTACAAAGAGACATACTTAATATATGTTTTAACTGTCATTGCTTAGTTATGAAATTAATATTCATAATTCAGATATTTTTAAGGCATACAAGAACCACACGCATACATATATATATATATATATATAGATACATATATATATACGAGGGATGTTATTCATTTAGACAGATGCAGTGGTAAATAATCTAGTTCTTGCATGTGCTCTATATTTGTTAAAAAATTCATATTTAAGCAACATAAAAAAAATTTTTTTAATGTCACATATAGGACGTCTATATGTCCACATTTTGCAACGGGTATCATGCAGGTTTAATACAGGAATGAAAGCTTATCTTGAATAAATAATAAAAATCAGAGTTAGGCAAAATAATGCTCTGGTTACATCTACTCCTTTTGTGCCTGTGGGATAAAATATATACTCATTTACATTTCTTTAAATGTATTTAAATTTGTAATTGGATCATCAATGAGAAAATTTATACAGAATTTTCTTCAAGGATGAAATATTTATTGGAAAAGCAGTGTATTTGTTGAGTGTATTTTTGTGAGTGATTGAGATGTTTATTGTTTTATGTTTCTACTTTAGTGCAATGTGCCAAGACAGTTAATTTTATTGAACCCTGTTTGTAATATAGCTCATTTCATTCTCATTTTTAATAACAATTATTTTATTTTGTCATGAAGAAAATGATATTTAGTTATTTTGATTTGCCTCATAAATGGTTTGAACTTAATGTTTTAAAATATTCAGAAATAATCTTAAAATTGCAACTTTTTCAGAGTTAGCATATGAATCTATTTTATTTGAAAGAAAAAAGTCATATGTTTTAAAAGTGTAGATATCAGTTTTGATTAATATTAAAAGCTGTCTCTCTGATTTTACCCCATATCTCTTTTTATCCAGCTTGAACAAATATTTGACTATTTAATTGGATGCAAGTCACCCTATAAGGGATTGTATGAATATTCCTCTACTCCCCAGATGCAAATTCCTCATGGATATTTTTTATTCACATGTACCCCAGTATATTCCAGTTTACATAACATATTATTCTTGTGAAGATCATTTTGAAAATTATATATAAATATACCAAATAACTAAATGATTTGGAAAATACGTTAAAGGTATAAAAAGTAATTAGATTTCAGAATGCAATTAGGTTCTATCCGGTCACTCTGGTTCAAAACCTTGGTTCCATCCTGGTCTTTTGGTTCCAAATCTTGTTTCTATCTGGGTTCTTTGGTTCAAAACCATGGTAACTGGAAGATCATTTTGAAAATAAGTGAATAAAGATAAAGAATATTTTACACAGAATAGTAAAACATTTGTGTTCATGCCCTTTGTGGGGTTTAGATTATGTTCATAATTGCTTGATTACATGTTGTTTATGTTGCTTCATAAGTTAACAGCTGCTAAAGGCTTACATATTCCTATGGACGACTGACTACTTCATCCACTAAGATATGAATGATTACTATTGTAAACTTAATGATAGCACTCTATTGAGCAGAAAAAACAAAAAATGGTTGAAGTCAAAAATGTGTAAAGATATTTGGTGCTAGTCTAGCATCCGGAATTATTGATGTTAGACAGGACCATATTACATAATAGTGATGATTTGAGGATATTTCCAGACATAATTAAGATTTTATACAAATGTAACCTTGCTTAGGAAGTGAATTATAATTCATTTGATGTCTTTAAAATGACCAGATAGTGTGCAAACTATGTTTATGGATCATGCATAAGCTATGTTATATTGATATTTTTGTAATATTTTATTGACTTTAGAACCTCCTTAAAATTTGCCTATAAATAACGTAATCTCACAAACTGTTATGCATATGATCTGTACATTGTAACACAGAATTTTAATACTCGTGAGGAAAATGACTTCCACAATATATATCAGGACATTTACTATTCCAGATATTTTGTTATAGTCAGCTTATTATAATGCTTTTGTATTTTATCTAACAATGTACAATAAAGCCAAGATAATTAGTATTGGTAACATATTCAGATAAAAAAGGAGTATGCATTTCTTATAATATACAAGCATGCTCATAATGTTCCTCCTTGATAAAGAAGAACATTAAGCCAACCATATAAATAGTAAGTTTTATTCACATTGGAAAAAGTCTATACTTTGTCCTTTAAAATGGGATGTCTTAATCAAAGGAGTAGGTCCGGTAAGGGCTGATTTTGGCCTCAAAATTCATGTTCATCTGATAAAAGATTTTGGACACTTTTTAAACACTAAAGTGTCTACTTCAGTCGATTAAATTAGTTTATGTGAAAGATTTGAACTGATTTAGTCATTAAAGATGCTCAAATTCAAGCTTAAATATGAAAAATCTATCAAATATGCCATAATATGTCACTTTTCAGATGGTTTTTGTCAAAAATGAAAGTGGCCGCATCCGTGTTCATTCTCAACCTTTATATATGTTATGTATTATCAACAAATACAACTTACATTTAAATATCAAGAATGAACACAAATGCGGCCACTTCCATTTCAGACGGAAACCGTCTAAAAATTAACCTAAATGCTAAAATTACGATTATTTCAGTAATTTAGCATGACTTAATGATGCTAGTACCCGATACATGTGCATTGTATTGTCAAAAACAGCCCATATTTATGTAACAGAAGTATTCTTCTTTCCAATAAATAGCTAAAAATTTACATTTTAACAATTTTGTAAAACTGCTATATTTTGGGGCCAAAAAGGGGTCTTACTGGGCCTGCTCCTTTGTAAAATGTCTGAATCAGAACATAACCTGTTGCTTATCAGCAAAATAAAAGAAAAAAGTATAAAAAATCTTTTACATCACAATTTTGTAGTGCTATCCCAATAGGCTGTTTTGTCTTTTAGTTTCAGTTTTATTCTATAAACTAGATATTATTTTTTAAAACATTGATTCTACCTTTATTAAATTTTGCCTTTTACTTATAAACAAGTTCTGCAATGATGTACAATTGGGATATCAAAGCTGATACAGGTATGTTTTTTCTGGGAGAGTTCATTAGGCAAATTCTTTATCTGGGCTTTATTGTACATTGTACAGTTTTCATTCCAAGCAAAGAAGTTCGACTCAATACATTGTTTTATTTGCAAGTTTTATTTGCAGAAATGTAATTTGCTGTTAAACCTGTTTTTCATGTGTCATTGCTGATTATTTGATTGATTGAAAGAAGTTCAAAGTCAGATCAGCAAATTGGCCTATAAGACAGATGTTATCTAATCACCATTTGAATTATTGTAACAAGTATATCATATACGGCAAAAAAATTGTATGTCAGAACCACTCTAATTTACATAACAAGAGTGAAATAGAATCTACCATTAAATTTATAAATTTGGTCTTTAACATAAGTTGCTGTAGATAATTGCCAAACATTTTCATTAAAACTTTTTTCTCATCATTTTAAAGTTGAAACGTGCTTACAATTGTTGTTTACTAAGTATGACACCGAGAAAAATTTGCGAGTTATCGTTAGTTTCGTATTAATTCAATTACCATAAAAAATATTACATTTTTAAACAAAACACAAAGTAAGGGTTAGAGAACTTTATCTTAGGAGAAACTAAGAAAACTGGTAATCTTCCTACAGTTTATAAAATTTATTAAATCCGTTTTGAGTTTTCAGTTGTGCAAAATTCACACATTAAAGATGTTAAAATCAAACGTGTTTGCTGATTTTTTTTTTTTTGAAATGCATAACTAAAATCAATCAAAATTTTAAATTTGACTTTGTTAAGAAAGCCAGAAAGATTATTATAATCCATTATGTATATCATTCAACCACACTAAGTTAACGGTTTCATTATTTGATATTACTCTCGTTCTATACATTTACAAAAACACTTTGCCACCTTTCATAAAGGATAAAATTTTGAGTTTAAGTTTTGATTTGTCATTGTGTATTTCCATTGCAACTAAAACGATCTTAACTTATCATTTGTTTTCCACATGACTGAGCAGAAAACAAAGTAGACTTTGGAATCCATTAGCAGTGTGTTAGTTCATGTATTTATTTGTTGTCACACAGTAATCTATGTAACAATATCTTCACAAACTGCTGTGTGAATAAAAATAGATATGGCAATGACTTACTATATTTCTTGTCTGGTTCCACAAAGTGTTACAGAAGAAGTCTTTAAGTATATTAATCCTGCCTTTAAAATCAACCAATAATCAAGGGGAGTACATAGTTGCCTATTGTCCACATGTTCATTCACCCAAAACAAAAAATATAATTCTATAGAATTATGGTGATGTTGTGTGATTGCTAATGAGACACTATCCTCCAAAGACTAAAAGAACGGGGAATTAAACAACGACAGTTCACAGTACAACCTTCAATTATGAGCAAAATCATACGGACAGGGAAAAATGTGCAGAGAAAGGAAAATCTGAACCAATTCATAAGAGAATTAATGACCTGGTTTAAGCTATTACCAGGACAGTTATGACTAAAAGCAACCAGTGGACTACAGGCTAGCAAGCTTTAACTTTAAACATATTTTCTACATAAAATCATGCAGGTCAATAACAAACAGATTTTTTTCTGGTTACGCTTTTTAAATTAAGAAAATCTGTAGAATTGACAGTTTTACATAATAATTTAGAAAGCAATTGGTAATTCTAATGCAATTTTTATGTATCAATGTTTTTCGTTGGTTGAAAATTATCGTAAGTTCCTTAGTTCACATGTTGTAACTAATGAGTGAGCCGCCATATTAAATTGCTTGAATCGACAAATGTTTGATTATTCAAAATAATCAAAAATAAACAACACCTACCTCAAAAACACTGTTTTAATGTGATAGTATCCAAATTTGAATCTGAGAAGTTACATAATAACCTTCAGTCTGCAAGTTTTCATTTGAATGACGTCATGTTAAGCCATGACATCATTCATGAAGTTTAGCCGATTTTTTTTCATGTCAAATTTATACATTTTTGTCAAGCTTTTGCGTTTTTGTGATATTTGTAATGCATTAGAATAGGAATAACAATACTGCAGTTGAAGAGTTGCTGCTTTAAATTGGGATTAGACACTAATGACTCTTCATCTACAGTACTGTTATTCCTTAATTTCAATACACATCCAGTTCTATCTTAACTTATGTTAGGTTCTTTGAGACTAAATTGATAGTTTACAGATGTTAAAATTATATATTTTGGGACATTCCTACCAATCATCAATTTTAGCTGGGATTAAAAGTTTCAAAATGACCTATAAAGAAAGAATATGGGATGCTTAGAAACAATCATAATTTTTTCTACACCTGTCTGATGTCCTGAAGAACACGGTCATTTTTTTTAACTTATTTATATCTTAGTTAATTTGACTCACAAACATCAAAGCTGAAGAGGGTATAAAATTTTGACCCATCTGTCTATCATCGCTCAGTTGTCGCTAAGGCAGCACCTTCATTTTTTATTCAGATCCTCTTCAAATTTGGATGAAGGTTTCCACTCATCAACACTTCAGGTTGGTTATAGATAGAAAAATGTGAATTGAGGAACCATTTTATATAGGAGGGGGACTTTGAAAATATCCCTTATTAAATTTTATCGCCACTGTTATGTGTCAATTCCTCTTATAAAATTGAGCAGAAACAAATTAAGCACAATCGGGTCAATTTATGATAGAAAAAGGGGGGGGATATCTTGCTCATTTAGTATCTTTTATGTCTTTAGTCTTTAAGGGAAAATTTGGTGTTGATAGTAATTCCTTGTTTTAGTTTTCGTTCATATGCTGAGGGCGATTTAGAGCTTGACATATTCTACATACACTTTTCTATCATTGAAGACCATCTATTGTCCTTTAGATGTCTCGTTTTTATACGACCGCAAACAAATTTTTGTGGTCGTATATTGGTATGACGTTGTCGTCGTCGTCCGAAGACACATTAGTTTTCGCACTCTAACTTTAGTATAAGGGAATGGATCTCAATGAAATTTTACCATAAGGTTCAATACCACAAAAGGTAGGTTGGGATTGATTTTGGGGGTTATGGTACCAACAGTTAAGGAATTAGGGGCCAAAAAGGGGCCAAAAATAAGCATTTATGTAACTTCCAGACATAACTTGTGTGTAAGTGTATGGATCTCTCTGACATTGTACCACAAGGTTCCATATCATAAAGGGAATGCTGGGATTGATTTTGGGGGTAATTGCCTCCAAATTTTAGGAATTAGGGGCCAAAAAGGGGCAAAAAAAAAGCATTTTTCTAGTTTCATGACAATAACTTGTGTGTAAGTCTATGGATCTCTCTGACATTGTATCACAAGGTTCCTTATCACAAAAGGAATGCTGGGATTGATTTTGTGGGTAATTGCCTCCAAAATTTAGGAATAAGGGGCCAAAAAGGGGCAAAAAACAAGCATTTTTCTAGCTTCATGACAATAACTTGTGTGTAAGTGTATGGATCTTTATGTAATTGTACTACAAGGTTCCATGTCACAAAGGGAAAGCTGGAATTGAGTTTGGAGGTAATTGCCCAAAAAGTTTAGGAATTTGGGGCCAAAAATAAGCATTTTCTAGTTTCCAGACAATAACTTGTGTTCAAGTGTATGGATCTCTCTGAAATTGTACTGCAAGGTTCCATACCACAAAGGGAAGGCTGGGATTGAGTTTGGGGGTGATGAATCATAAGGGGTTCGAAAAATTTGGGGGGGGGATTTTTTTTCCCTTTTTTTTCTTTAAAATTTTCCATTTTAAATTGGTTATTTCTGATTTATATATAAAAGCAAATAATAATGATATGGTTTGAATAGGTAAATTAAAAAAATTTTAAGTTCTTAGACCACTTTCATTCTGTGTCAGAAACCTATGCTGTGTCAAATATTTAATTACAATCCAAATTCAGTGCTGTATCAAGCTTGAATGTTGTGTCCATACTTGCCCCAACTGTTCAGGGTTCGACCTCTGCGGTCGTATCAAGCTGCCCCCCAGCGGAGCATTTTATTTTGTGTTGACTTAAACTTAAAATCTTGTATTTATATAGAATTAAGAATGGAAACGGGGAATGTGTCAAAGAGACAACAACCCGATCAAAGGACAAAAAACGGCACAATGCCACCAATGGGTCTTCAAAATACCGAAAAAATCCCGCACCCGGAGGCATGCTTCAGCTGGCCCCTAAACAATAATGTATACTAGTTCAGTGAAATAGACGTCATACTTAACTCTGGAACATAAATGAACCAAAAAAAAAAAAAAACATACACAAGACTAACAAAGGCTAGAGGTTCCTGACTTGGGACAGGCGCAAAAATGCGGCAGGGTTTAACATGTTTTGTGATATCTCAACCCTCCCCTACACCTATAGCCAATGTGGAATAAACAAACAGCAATACACAAGGTAAAACTCAGTTTGAAAGAAGTCCAGAGTCCGATGGTAGAATAGGTAACTGAAAAAACTAAGCAAAATGACAATGATCAACATAAATTAACAAAGGACTACTAGTAGTTACTGTCATGCCAGCTCCAGACTACACCTTAACTGATCGAAAGACTTTGTCTTCATCATATGAAAATCAAGCACAATCCCCCCTGATAGGGGTTTAGTATCATGCCATCATAAATTATACGAGAAGAACATAACCCGTATCATATATTTATTAGTTAAAGCCATTCAGCGTTGGCCTGAAGTACTTGTACATCACAGCAATATATTGTTGGGCTATGCAGCAACTTTAATGGTAGATAAAAAGTCGTCTATCTTGTTGCTATGTTTGCATTTTGTCTCCATAGAGAGCAAGTTCTTAGTTGTTGAAGAGGAAAAAGATGAGGCCCCTCACGGGGGTGTCCAAGTTATCACGTAATCATAAATTTTTTGCCAATATAATCACATAATCATTAATTATTTTTTTTAAACAAGATGATCAAATAATCAAAAATACAGTCCTAGATTATCAAATAATCAAATAGTCATGAAGTGTTTGGTCTGGTAACCAAATAATCACATAATCAAAAACCCCATGAGGAGGCTCAAAGATAGGCAGACGATAGCAAAGGGATATCCAAACTCATAGAAGAAAACTAAAACAACGCTATGGTAAAAAACGAAAAACGATCAAAAGACAAACAGCAGTCTACAAAACACAACATAAAAAAACTTAAGACTGAGTAACACGACCCCCCCCCCCCCCCCCCCCCCAAAAAAAAAAAACAAAAAAAACCGGAGGTAATCTCGGGTGTTTCTTAGGTGAAAAGGTCTGATTCCTTGTTCGAATTTGGCTATACTTTAGGTCCATTTTGATTTGATTTGCTATTCAAAGTTTGTATTTCAAATATATTGGCCTCGAACATCACTAAAGAGACATTACATGTCGAAATGCGCTTCTGGTGCAATACAATTAGTACAGTTTATGTTATATAGATATAAGAAGATGTGGTATGAGTGCCAATGAGACAACTCTCCATCTAAGTCAAAATTTATAAAAGTAAACCATTATAGGTCAAAGTACGGTCTTCAACACGGAGCCTTGGCTCACACCGAACAGCAAGCTATAAAGGGCCCCAAAAATTACTAGTGTTAAACCATTCAAACGGGAAAACCAACGGTCTAATCTATATAAAAAACGAGAAACGAGAAACACTTATGAACCACATCAACAAACGACAACTACTGAACATCAGATTCCTGACTTAGGACAGGTGCAAACAATTGCAGCGGGTTTAAACGTTTTAATGGTACCAAACCTTCACATTTTTTCTGAAACAGTAGTGTAACATCACAACATAGAATGCCTTCTTCCCTAGTTGTCGAGCCTGCGACTTTTGTCGCAGAAAGCTCGACATAGGGATAGTGATCCTGCGGCGGCTACGGCGGCAGCGGCGGCGTTAGCTAACTTCTTAAAAGCTTTATATTTTAGAAGGTGGAAGACCTGGATGCTTCATACTTTGTATTTGGATGCCTCATGTTACGAAGTTTCCGTCAGTCACATGTCCAATGTCCTTGACCTCATTTTCATGGTTCAGTGACTACTTGAAAAAAAAGTTAACATTTTTTGTTATGTTAAATTCTCTCTTATTATAAGTAGTAGGATAACTATATTTGGTATGTGCGTACCTTGCAAGGTCCTCATGCC